ATCAATATAAGGTTTTGGAGATTGTTGAATTTTATTGAAATCACAAACCAATCTAAATTAGACGACAACTGGGACCTAAAGAAACTAAATAGCCGTTTCGTCCTAGTATAAGACATTCCAGCAATCCGTATTCACATTAGAAACAATTGAATTCGACTGATCACTGTTTCTCACAAGAACTCTGAGAATTTCATTTGAAAGCTAAATACTTGTGACTATATGATCCTTATCCATACGGAGCTATGGATGCTGACTCAATGGTTTATAAGTTAAGCGTCCCCATATGAGACCAAAGGTTCTGGGCTTGATTCTTAATTACGTGGTCATGGGTGCGTGCTATCGAGGTTACTATTGGTTTTTTATTATTACTATTACTATTAGCTTCATTGAATATTGTATTTTTGGTGCAATGTAGGATTGACAGCACAAAGTATTTCAACAAGTTTCCGTTTCTTACTTCTTGGTCGATACTGACGATAAATATTGAGTGATCTCCAGCTAGAAGTTAGTAGTCCAGCAAAACGACAACGAAATAATGTATAATCTTTTCGCTTAATATTACTAGCAACCACGATATCTCTGATTGGGTCTTTCGTAACTTGTAGAACGAAAAGTTGAACACTTTTCACCTGAATAGGTTAAACGATTAACAGACATGATTATGTATTAAAAGAAACAAAAACTGATAACTTGTTGAAAAACCTAAACGACAGGAACAGGTAGCCCAGATATTCAGGCAGACCGCCAAATTGTTCGTTTGTTGTTTGGATTATCTTTATACTATTCATCATTACAATACTGGTTAATTATTTTGTTCTCTTTAAAAAAGTTATTTACACTGACAAACCCTTAGAATTTAGTGAATCTTTCCATCTAAACAAGAATAATTTAGTGACAAGTTTAAATTGTATTACAATAGATACAAGTGAGTTATTATTCTACATGTAAGCAGTTTGTTCATACATTCAAAATGGTTATTACATAGTTTTTTTCTTTTTGAATTACAATAACTAGAAAATATGTTTTCTCATTGTTACGTCCTTGGTCTGTCTACCCACTTTTGGTGCTGTGGATAACTTATCTAATCTAAATGAAGACTTTGACGCGATAGGTTGGCCGGCTTAAACTTGAGACTAGTATGCGTGAGTTCGAAGTGGGGTAGATAGAAGAAAACTATTCTATCACTTGATTGGCTGACAAGCACGCAAGTGAGAGAAGACAAGTTAACTGGAACACTACTCGATCTGTTTCCAATTCGGATCTGGTTCCCGATTTCAGATTGGTGTAAAATGATACATGAATACATAGATGACTAGCCCGACCACAAAGTATAATAATTAGGAAAATACAACTATGAGTCAATTGAAGCTAGACCACCATGGAAAACCTGGAAGAACTGGACGGCGATTTCGTCCTAGTATGGGACTCCCTAGCAGTGCGCCGTTTCGTGGATTGGTTGAAGTTCAACAATAACACCGTTGGATGCCGGCTCAGTGGTCTAATGATTAAGCGTTCGCGCGGGAGACCGATAGGTCCTGGGTTCGAATCTCGCGAGGGGTGAGATTGTGGATGCGCACTGTTGAGGTGTCCCATACTAAAACGAAATGGCCGTCCAATGCTTCCAGGTTTTCCATGGTGGTCTAGCTTCGATTGACTCACAATTTCAACTACTGACATTACTAAAATCTCCACAAAACCCCTTCTGAAAATACAATTATGTCCATAACTGGGGATTAGAGTAAAAAATAGAATACAAAATAATATGTTAAATTACAATAGCTTTGGAACAAAAAGTGCTATGGCAGTGAATCATACATCAAACGAATGCTTATGTTTTGTAGAATAGACTAGAGACAAAAAATAAATACTAATGTTTTACAAACCTTGAATTAACTGAAATAACGTCCTTAAAAATAGCTTCCGCAGTTTTTCAAAGCTTCTTGTTTCTCTGTTCACATCAATCATGATATAGAAAAAGACAAACTTTAGAATTTAAAAAAAATCTGTTTCATGTACTTATTTAATATCACAATTGATTGATCACTGGGTGGTGATCAATGTCATGTGTGTCAAGTCCTTATTTAGTGCAGATCGAATACTATCAACCATGTTGCAATGTGACCACCGGTCTAGGTGACTCGACACTGCAGGCACTATATATTGAGATTAAATGGTGGTTGGAGGTAGTCGACAGAAAACCCTGTCGACTACCTCCAACCACTATCTAATCTCAACTTATTCAATATGGAAATGTTTAGGTTTGAGAATATAGTATTGAATTTAATGACAATTTATACTACTGAAAATACTACTACTAATATTATTATTTATTAAGTAGTAAATATAAAGCTACAAAAATTAAATTGCTTTAACTTCTTTTAATTTAAAAGACTACTGGTAAAACTAATTATTCATCTATGATAATAATTAAATTTACATTTATGAAAACATTTTTTTGTAAATTTTTTGAACAAAATTGTATCTATGTAACCTGCATTCTTATAGCCTATGTAACCTATATTAGACGGATACTAATTATTATTATTCTTATTATTATGGAAACAGTTGATTCCATGTTAACAAAACAAATGTATATAAACCTTATACAAAACCCAGTGGTTGGTATTAGTAATAATAATGTTTAGAGAAAATCTATGATTGAACAAAACTAGTGAATAGGGATGAATATAATGAAATACCCATAGAGATTATTTGGGAATAATTTATATGGTACAAAATATCAATTATTCACTTTGATATGAAACATGATGAAGTAAAATGGGATTGAAAGGAATAAGAAAATTGTTTCTTTTTAATTTAAGTGATAAAATGTTAATTTAGTTAGTATATTCTATATGAGACTAGCAATGGCATTCATGACATATACTTTGTCTTATTCCGAACTCATTACTTGGACGTATCTTTTGCATCCTAATGTTGAGGTGTTATACTGAAACTTGGATCTAACACATTTGTTCAATATATTCATCACTGAATTAACTAGTTCAAGTAGTTACTTAATTGTTCAACGGATAGGAAGCTTTTTGTAAGAGCTTGTGACTTCCATTGTTGGTATTTAGGACTGAACATTATCAACTTCAGTTACTAACTGTCCAGGATTCATATATCTCAATAGAAATATATCACTGTCAGTCCTAAACGAGAGTTACTAACCCTTACTAATTCATTCTGTAATTGAAGATCAAAATGCTATATGATAACAAAACAATTTTACTAGAACGTACTGATTTGTTGAACAAAAACAAAGACACGAAATGTTTGGCAAATGTAACAAGTGTCGAGACGGTCGTCCAGTGTTTCCAGGTTTTCAGTGATAGTCTAGCTTGGATCAACCCATGAACTCAACTTTGAAGATATCGAAAAAAACGAAAAACATCAAAGTCATAATAATAATTATGAAAAGTTGTTAAGTCACTTTATGATATAATCTTTTCTATCCTTCTATAGAACGAAATATTTACCATACAACTAAAAGTACGAATATAAAGTTTAAGTAAGGGATTCCATCGAAATGAAAAATTTCTTTTCTGAATTCCTGTTATTTTTATTCATTGGCACAAATAGGATATTTTAACTTGTTTTGATTTTAGAACAAATAGATAGCTCATGGTGAAGTTTAACAAAATAATTACAAACTAATAATAATTATCAGAAAAGGAGGCATTGTGGAGATTGTAGTAATTTAATGGTTGAATTCATGAGTCGATGTAAGCTAGACCATCATGGAAAACCTGGAAGTACTGGATGGCCCTTTCGTCCTAATATAGGACCCCTCAATAATGTGCATCCACGATCTCACCTGTGGGATTCGAACCCAGGAACTTTGGTCTCAATGCTCACTAGTGACTAGCTTCAACAGGTATTTCCTGGAGTTCTGTTGAGAAGCATTGACCAATGAAGTTCAACCGGTTTTTTGTGAGATAGCAACTCACTGAAGACAATGGTTAACTGTGGCTCAATTTCGTGGATTGATTGAAGTTAGACATTAACACCGTTGGATGTCGGCTCAGTGGTCTGATTGTTAAGCGTTTGCGCGCGAGACCAATAGGTCCTGAGTTCGAATTTCGCAGGTGGGTGGGTGCGCACTGCTGAGGAGTCACACACTAGGACGAAACGGCCGTCCAGTGCTTACAGATTTCCTATGATGGTCCAGCTAACATCGATTCATGAATTCAACTGTTAAATTATGATAATTAATCTATACGTTAAAGATTTAAAAAATCTGATTGGTTCTAGAATTGATTTCAATATTTTATATCATATAGTTTAGATGTTTTTTACTAGTCTTCATTAAATATTGGTAGATTTTCATCTAAATGACTTTTACTTTTTAAACTATTCTATAAAGTCTGAAATTGTACTACTCAAATTAGACAACTTAAAGTAATTAGTCCTTTAGATAGTGTACCAAGAAGAAGTTCTGATAATCTTCGTCTTTTTATTACTGTTATAACTTGTGACTGCCTATTAGAGAGCAGTGACGTATCGATCGGAACAAAGGTGCGTAAAACTCGTGCGAGCAGCCTAGAGTTCTGATTGGCCCTGCTTTCCGCCTAGCCCAACCAGTTAAGTCCAGAACACCACTCTCAGCCTCTGCAATATGAATCATGTATTTCAAACATACTCTGTTTATATACCAATCAAACAGACAACAATGTTCCAATAAAATATGAAACAACATTCGTACAAGAATTAGCCAAATGTGGTAGTGCATGAGGGAGGCAGTAATTAATATACTGGGTATAACTCACAAATGGTAAAACGTATAATAGTTGTTTATGAGTCAAAATAAAGCTTATAATAAGAGGAAGATGAATATGCATAGTTTAGTTACTTAATAACTATACAATAGAAATATACGTTTAGTATTGATCCATCAATAGATCCCAAAGTTACCATTCATTATGTTTCTCGGGTTCTAACAATTCCATCATCTAGATTAGTCAAATTAAATTCCATCAGTAATATAATGAAACTTTATGGTATATTTCTATTTTATAGGTTCAACACTATCAGCTAATCTATCATCTTTAAATGTTAGTTATTTGTCTCAATTAATGAATTCATCTATTGAACAAAATAATAACATGAATAATCATAAAGATTTTGATTATAAATATGAATATGAGTTACTACAAAATTCAGTACAATCCAATGAATTCAACAGTTTAGCATTTAGTACTCCTACATCAAACATTTCTGAATTAAATATTTGGGAAAATAAAAATGGTGAGTTAAGAATTAAAAGTTTTGGATTATTCTGTTTATTCTTTCTATACATACATACATACATACATACATACACATACATACATACACACATGCATACATACACACAAGTGCACACATGCACACATACATACACACACATACATACATACACATGCACACATGCACACATACATACATACATACAATACATACACATACATACACATCCATACACACACACATACAATAGTATAAAATGGGAACTACTTTATCTCATATGTGTAACATATAATATCGTAAGAGATGAAATACCGATACAATAATATATACAGCATACATGAGCTAGATAGACGAATCCTGAAAAATAGATTACTATAAGGAATGAGAAGTGAAGATGCCACAAGTATTTAGAGTTTGACAACACCTTAACCAGTAACACTTTCTATAAACAAAACGTACGCAACTAGTGAAATCAGAAGTCATAAGCAAAGAATTTCGAAGACATATTTAATAGGTTATCAATATATCGGTAAGTGACTGATTTAAAATAGTTAGCGGTTGTAGGAGAAGTGGAGCATATTGTGAATCTATTAGAACTAATGTGGTCAGCATCAAATGTTGTTATGTTTAAAAAAAACGTGTTCAAGCGATTAGAGACGAAAGTTTATAAGTTGTCTGCATATGGTTGATAACTCAAATAATGTGAACAGACAAACTATTTTAATGTTATAGGTAGTGAAATCCAGGACAGACGTTTCGTCATAGATGGGACTCGTCAGCTAGATGAACCTGAATTACAGAGTTGGTTTTCACTCTGAACCTTGGACCAAGTACCTTCCGCTTCAAACGCCATGGTATTATCTACTTAACTACTAAGTCCAGATAGTCACTAGTTTGTACTTATAATGCTTGTGACTTAAAGTAATATCGAGACAATTCACAAAGGATAAACATATGACAATAAGACAATGATTATAATCAGAGACTGGTTTTGTGAATATTATGATAATTTAGTAGTTGAATTCATGAGTCAATTGAAGCCAGACCATCATGGAAAATCTGGAAGCATTGGGCGGTCATTTCGTCCTAATATAGGACTCCTTAGCAGTGCGCATCCATGATCCCACTTCTCGCGAGATTCGAACCCAGGACCTATCACTCTCGCGCGTGAGCGCTTAACCATTAGACAACTGAGCCTGCATCCAATGGTTTTCATGTCTAACTTCAACCAATCCATGAAATTCCGCGACCGTCCACCATTGTCTTCAGTGAGCTGATATCTCACAGCAGATTTCGTTGGACTCCACTGGTCACTGCTCCTCACTAGAACTCCAGGAAATCCCTCTTGGATACCGTCACTAGTGAGCATATGATCGTAGATGCACGCTGCTGAGGATTCCCATACTAGTACAAAACTACCGTCTAGTATTTCCAGGTTTTACATGATGGTCTAACTTCAACTGACCCATGAATTCAACTACTTAATAAGAAACTGATCATTCACAGTCTTAAATACCAACAGAATGATTCAAACAACTTATGCAAAAAATGTATTTTGATTTTTGTTTTCCAATAAATAGATAGATGGAATCATTCATTCAATTGTAATATGATACCTTATAAGTCATCTATTTCATATAACCCTAATCCTTTGGAAAAGAATCAATTTGTTGAAGTTCAAAAATCTTTCCCTATTATTAATACATCAAATTACATCATAGATTGTAATAGTTCATTTACTAAAGTGAATTTCTTCGAGTACTTTTTATCTACATTGAATCAATTTCAATATTTCAATATGAGATATAATTTATCAAATTTATATAAATGGTATCAATTCTATTATGAACAATATATTCAAAATATAATGTTGACAATGATTGAAACAAATGAAGAACCATTAGATTTATCATTGAAGACAGATTTAATTGTCAGTAAATCAGTATGGTCAGTTTATATTACTTTGTTAAAATTGTATTTCTTTAATTAGATAAGCTTTTTAATTATAGAAAATATATGGGACGAAATCATATTTAAGCAAGCAAAATGGGTGAGACTCTAATTTATGGACGAGCCAATCAGAAGCGTTTGAGATATTTCAAGGTCACGGCGCCAGTTTCAGTGCTTAATGCTAACGTACGATCGGTTCACAGAGAATTTTATACAAAAAGGGATAATTGAGCGGCTATAACAAATAAAACGGTGAGACTATAATTTGTGGACGAATTAATCAGGTATAAGATAACAGATCTTGGATTTTGGTACGAAAGCCTTTCATCCATTTGGCTAAATAAATTTCTGGCATTATAGCTTATATCAGTTCGTGATGAAAACCCTATAGATAATTCCTAACTAAGGCGAATTATGACAATTATTGAGAACTGGATAATAAATGCACCAGTAACACTAGCTGCAGCCAGGTACTACAATATATACAGATGTTTGGAGAGCGTACAGACTCCTACATAGGCTTGGTTATGTGCATCGTGTCGTTATCCACAAGTAGGATTTTGTGCACTCAACAACCGGAGTGCACATAAACAATATTGAAGCTATGTGGTCGAGGCTGAAAGAGTTTTCGAGACTTTATCAAGTCTCCAGTCGCCGACTATTCTGTAGCCGTGTGAATGATTTCCTCTACTGCATGCATTACAATTTCAGAACCTCTGAACCTCTTTCTAACCTTGACAAGTTTTTGAACCACGTATAAGAAATGTATCCACTTTATTTCTTTGATTTTGTATAATATATCTTTACTTTATACTGACTGTTTGCTGATTGGCTCATATTTCTCAAGGTCGCTTAAGATTCGTTCAAAGGTTGTCCATAAATTATAGTCTCGCCGCGGGATGGTTTATAAGACGTAGTATGTAAAAGGGAAATTGTGAGGACAGTCAAAGCACAGCCAAACTACTGTCAAGAAAGAATAATATGGTCTAACAAACACGATTATTTCATACATACATAAATGGTTGATTATGACTGGCGTATATGACTATATTTGTTTCTACATAAAAAAATTACTCATTTATGGACGAATCAATCAGATTTAAGATTCATTCACCCAGTTGTCTAAATAACGTCCTGGCATCTTAACTGATGTCACTTCGTGATGAAAACCATAAGTCTAATTCCTAACCCTAACCATCAACTGTAAATCATAATCCTTCCTCTTCAAACCGCTTTACAACGATCATTTAGCCCTAGTAAGTAGGTGGATATTCCCGTGGTCACTTTAATGTCGCTCAAAGATCGTCCATAAATTATACTCTCATCTCCCATTCTTGAACTTCAGATTACATCCACAGTTGTGTCATAAATTATCAATTAAAGTTCTTAGCAAACATTTTTGACTAAGGTCGTGAACCGATTGATGTTAGACCACCATTGAAAACCTGGAAGCACTGGACTGCCATTTCCAGGTTTTCCATGGTGATCTAGCTTCAATTGATTCATGATCTCAACTGTTGAAATTACTACAATCTCCACAAAACCCCTTCCGATATTAAATATATATTATAAACACCAAGAAAAGTTACGAGATGTTACAATAAAATTTATACACAATAAAACCAAAATGTGGCTGTGAAAGTGGGAGACAGTAATTACTAAACTGAATATAACTTAAGAACAATACATCGTACAATAATGATGTATAGATCAAAACGAAGCTTATAATAAGATGAATATAAATATACACAATCTAGTTACTGAATGGTTATACTATAAGGATATATAAATAATATTAGTCCATTATTAGGTCTCAGAAGTTACTAGTAATTTAATCTTCGCCAGGATATAACAGTTAGGTAACCATTAGAAACTATGATTTACTAGACAGTTGTTTCATCTTAAATAGGAGCTCACCTGCAATATATATGTATATATATAAAATATTAATATATATGTATATATGACCAGAATGAGTCTCAGAAGTTAACCGTGATTTAATCTTCACTAGGATATAACAAATAGTATCATAACGTAATTGCAAAATAAGTTTGTCATTATTATCTCCACAAAATAATATAACAGTGCTAATTTGTTAAATATATGTGATTTTAATTTAATCCTTTTCTCATGATTCAATTATTTTCTATCATTTTAAATAACTTTAAATGATTTCATCCAATTTTTCTGATTACAATTTTTTATTTTTACAGTCAGCAACAACAAGAACAACAGGAGTTACCAAGTGAACAATTAACTCAATCCAATAAAACATTCAATGAATCATTAAAAATTCATTGTAATTCTTCTACATATTTATTATATGATAAACATTTAAAAAAAGATGATCATTTAATTCAAGCAAATATATTAAACATCCCAATGATATATCCAAATGAAACTTCTACTAAACTATCATCAAATGACTATTCTATTCATTCAAATAATTTTCTATCAAAAAAATCTTTATCTAAAATAAAAAATTATTCATTAAATATAACAAATAAATTATTATCACCATGCAAAATTAAAAAAATCAATAATAATCATCATCATAATCATACCTTATCAACTAATCAATTATATTTCAATAAATCAATAAAACATTCATATACACAAAATGAATTATCTGAAGCTGTAAAAGCTATTTGTTTTGGTCAATTAGGTACACGTAAAGCAGCTAATTTATATGGGATACCAAGATCAACATTAAGAAATAAAATATGTAAATTAAATGAATTAAAAAAATTAGAAGAAAAACGTTTAGGTGGTAAATCAATTGTATTATCACAATTTCTATTAAATTTAATTGAATTCAATAAATTATATCAATATTCAATAATCAATAATAATAATAATAATAATAATAATAATAGTAATAATAGTAATAGTAATAATAATGATTATTATGATTATGATCATTATAATAATTCATCATTATTAACTAATAATAAAGGACAAATAACAAAATTATGTTTATCAAAAAATTATATTAATTATTTAATGAATACAGCTAATAGAGTTGCATCAATATTTCAGGTAAACAATTTGTTTTGTTTTTTATTTTTTATTTATTTTTATTTATGTATTTATTATCCTGACTATTGTTGCTTACATGTCCTTAGTTATTTATCAATCTTCTCATTTGGATAAGTTTGGTTTCATTAGTTATTTGTTTATTTATTTGAACATATAGATATTGGTACAAGGAGACACCAAATACACATGCGTCACACAGATCTCATTTGATATGTGTGAGGGGTGTGATACTGTTCGGGTGCCCAAACCGAAGCAGGTGCTTTTCTTAGGGGACCACACCCCGAGCCTTTGATCTAAAGGTCTGATCCATAAGGCAGTGGAGCATCGTAAGGAAATGTAGTCTCATGGTAGCCGGTGACCAACGATTGATTCATATGCCATTCGTTCCCGCAGGATATTGGAACCCGTGTGCACCATTGGTTTGGTTTGGGATCCGGGTAAAGCGCTGGACATTCGCTTTTCGTCCTCTCATTTTCGTAAATAACACCCACGAAACGAGAAGGCAGTGAGTTGAACTTCCCTGGCAGAGGCTATATACGCGTGGCCATGTGAGAGCATTTGGAGAGGGAGAGTGGACTCTCCCCACTCTCGGCCGTACCAAGGCATTTGGGAGCTTTAGTGTGAAACTGTTGTTGCTACCTTGATGTGATGGTTGGGCTTACCTATTGTGATGAACCGATCGAGCTATGCTGGCTGGAACAATTTTTCCTCAAGGTTGTACTATGCTAGACAGGTTAGTGGAAGAGAGGTAAGAATAAAAGCATCAAATCCAAAGTTTGAGGATGAAGTCATACTGTCGTGTGTGCTACTTATATTGACATAAGTAGTATATGATGTTAGTCGTGAACAGAAGGTTTGGTAGCAGAGAGACAAGAGAATCGAACAGTAAAGAATGGAAACGGAATGCGATTTATATGAAAATAAAAGAACAATGAAGTTTGGGCTATTTTGGGACAATCGATGGTCATTTTGCAAATTGAGCATTTACTATATGGTTGTTAGATTTTATTAACAAGTTCTGTAATTTTGTGTTAAATACATTCGATTGTCCCCACCCGTTTTCTGTTCACTACAATACTGCTGGTTGTACAGAAGTGTGACAGCAGTAATGTGCTTCCTTTAGGCAACCAGCATAATAGAGATGCTGCCTTCTCATAAGTAGAGGTGGGGTTAGAAAAGGTCGACCCTAAAATTGCACACTTTAATTTATCCTACGGATATCCGTCTCCGATGGTAAGGTTTCAACAAGTACGGTCGTGTGTGACTGACCTCAAGCAGTTGTCCCTTGGGCACTGCGGTCACGCTCTCAGGTCACTAAGGTCATCTTTAATCCTATTTCGTTTTCATGTACCTCCAGAAGAACCTTCCTACGGTGTGGGCAACCGAGAAGTGTTAGTTATTAGTATAAAATTGTGAAGATTGTTGAGTTTTGATTGAAATGATGAATTTATCAATGTGAGACCATCATTGAAAATCGGGAAGTACTGAATAGTCGTTTTGTTCTAGTATGTGACCCTTTTATAGTGCACATACACGATCCGGCATACGAGAATGGAATCCAGGACCTTCGGTCTCGTGCGCGAACGCATGCATCCAACGGTAACAATGTGTAACTGACTAATCCATGATATTGTGCAACTGTCTTCCATTATCTTTAGTGTGTAACTGCCTCCACTGGTCACGAAAATGGAAACACTTTTCATTGATTTTAGAATGAATTAATTCTTCCCTTTCCACTTTATTATTCCTTAGAATCAATAAAGACTTAATAGTGGAGGGATAGTAAAGAATAGTTTGAAATAGTTACATATAACAAAATTTGTATAGCGAACAATTTTAAGAATTTAATAATTTAGAATAGAAGATGGATAGGTTATTATGTGTGTAAATTTGTAGTGTATCTGCTTCATGATATTCAATGAATGTGCAATATCTAGCATTTTTGTTTTTCATTTAATGGGTATATGTTACATATGAATAGTATGGTTTTTAATGAGTTATTCATTTTGATGTGGTTTTGTTCTCTGAGCTGGATGGTTTGGTCGACATCAGTAGATAAGTGGATAACGCGATGACGTTTGAAGCGAACGGTACTGTGTTCTAGTCCCGAAGTGAACACCATGTCTGAGATGCAGGTACATCCAGGTGGCCAGTCCCAAACAGGATGAAACGCGCGTCCTGGATTCCATTGCTAGCCACTATCCATCTTTGTTTAAAAAAACTTGTGAATTAAGGCTGTATTGAGGCAATCCGCATAGGATGCACATATGCCAACAAGAGACTGATCAATTGCCGTCCTAAATAATAATGAGAAGCTACAAGTAGAACAACACCAAATGAATTAGAGCTAGTCATTATGAATATCTCTGTCTTTTTTAAATGCAACTTTCTTATTTTATATTTTTTAACTACAGCATTTCTAACCCTAAGAAGAATTCTCTGGAAAAATTTATTCTCTTTTCCTTGTATCATATTTCCATAATTAAATATCAAGAAAAATTACTTAATTGAAAAAATACAAAAAATTTCTTTATTGGGATCATTCTTTGTTATTCTGAATTACGGAAATCATTTGGTTTCTATAAGGTGGAAAGTGTATTTGTGCAGTTTGTTAAATCTCATAGCCTGTATCATGAATTGATCTTATATAAATAGGCATTAATAATCTGGAAGAATAAAATGAAGAATTGATTGAGCCTAGTAATGCAGATTATTGGACGCTGGTTCAGTAGCCACTTTAACAATTAAAACTTTTAATTTTGTTTGCTAGTGGGATCATAGACAAGCACTATTGAGCAGTACAATACTACGATGAAAGAGTTGTCCAGTGTCTCCTGGTTTTCATTGGTAATCTTACAAAGGTCAAGATGTGATGTAACCTAGGTTTTCTCCTCATTATCGTTGAAAGAAATTATGAAATAACTCATTTTGTACAAAAATCGTCAAAAATACTTTTCATATTCACAAGTGTTTTGATGAGAATAAAGTGCTAAAAGGTGTCTGTATATTTAGTTATATTGACCTTAAATTCAAAAGATATATAGCATCCTCATTTGCAATTTGTATATGTTTAAGCTTACTAAATCATCTAATTAATTTTAACAGAAAGAAGGTGCTGATGATAATTTCTACATATATATTTATACATATATTCCGATGAATGTAAGAACATCCATGACTGAACAGAAGTTACAGTTTACGCTAGACTCATCTTACACGTTTGTAGCATGGAGTTGAGTCAAGGTTGACTATGATCACCACTACAGGAAGACTATGTGCCAGTTAACCGATAAGATCCCCCGTAAGCCAAATATCAGAAGGCAGTTGATGGCTGTAGTCGAGATGTATTCGTTGGTGATCTCATGGTATCGAGAGAATACCGAGATCGCGCCAAAGGAGTACAAGCGTGGTTACTGAGCGTAACCGAATTCGTGCAAGGTCACAATCAAGGGAAGGAAGAATGTCTTTAGTACAGATAAACAAACAAGTACAGTAAAACAATCACTGGTACAATTGGTCATAATAATGATTGTTTCCATTAAACCAATCGCGTTCATTTGATAAAAGTAGGTCACCACACGTTTAAATGTTCGGTGCTTAAACAGCTTGTTAACCCATTCACAAGATTTCATATATTCGCTTTTAAAATTCATTCATTCATCAACTCATCTCTCCTATCGTGTACTCTTTTGTCATTTGATTTGTGCTGTGCTGAACTAAACTGTTGCAAGAATTTGGTATTACGTTCGGAAAATTGAAGTAATGATGATTGAAGGTATTCTGCAATAGATTCAGTCTCCAAGTGATTGATTAAATAAATTTGTTTTATTATTTTTTCTTACAATTAGGTGAATTGTCGAAGAAGTTACATGTATAAAAGGACTTTAGATCATAAATCAAAAAATGGAATAGAAAAATCAGTTCATACAAAGAAAAAATTGGCATCCATTCATAAATTACGATGTTCCCATCAACAAACAATTAATCAATAACAGAATTACAAATACATTAGTTATCCAATCAAAAATACTAACATTAAACTTAAAAGACTTTTCACTAATATTTTCAAATAATGCAAATCATGTTATGTAATACAATATTGAATTGGCTATTTAAATGTTCTTAAAATGACTTTGATTTTTAAATCATTGAATTTGTATATAGTTTCGGCAAAATTTCATTTATTCCTAACGATGTAAACAAAGGTGTTTTAAGATAAATGTAATCATATTATGGTATACATTCCAACTAAATCACTATCCAAGCTCCACCGACACAGAATTAGAAAACAGAGATTCATTGTATTGAGTACATGGTACTATATACATATGTTTTACAAATTCACTTGATTCATAATGTTGTTGTTGAGAAAGGTAGCTTTTGAACTAGGTCTCTCTGTCCATTATGATTCCGGTCAGCATTTCATAGTCAGAGATCTACTTTTCTATCAGCACTCTCTCGGTAGACTCTGTTGAGAAGTGAATAAGTCGGTCTGTGCATACAAGAAGTCGCTCAGACCTTTTGTATGGTAGCAGCGGTCTGACGATATCAATATAAACATGATGAAACCTGAAGACTTGGTTGTGAAAACAACTGACTGGGGAGCTGGTACGACAATGCAACTTGACATTTTGATATTTTGTGTATGCTTGTGCCTAATTTCAGACATTTAAGTTAAGTATCAGAAGGGGTTTTGTGGATACTATGGTAATTTCAATAGCCGAGATCATGAGTCAATTGAAGCTAGATCGCCATGGAAAACCTGGAAATACCGGACGGCCGCTTCGTACTATTGTGTGTTTAGCCATCTAAGACACTCATTATTTAATTTCACAGTAGCTTTTGTTCCCAGATGCGATGTATTGTGAGTGTCTTTAAAGATACTAAGTATCGCTGGTTTCGGAATAAAATGTTTCGATCTATCTGTTTAAGCATCCCGCGTTACTTTGATTGCATACAATCGCGCTTCTTCTAATATTAGCAGAGTTGTGGCTGAAAGCCTGAGGTTAGATTATTCAACATCTGGCATTTGTAGTGTTGATAAGTTATGGCAGTCGATTAAAGCTGAAGTGAAAGTGTTTATTAATACTTTGGACAATGCATTAGTTGTAACGGAAAGAGAACGATGAAAATCCCTCTGCAGCTTCTTTATTGAACAGTATTGTCATTTATTTGTTCCTTCTCCCTGTTGTGTATTTTAACCTTTGTTCCGATCTCATTTAACCTTATCTTTTGTTCTTCAGTCTACCTCGTGTGAGCCTTTATTATGTGATTTTGATTAAAGACTTATCTTTTGTTGCCTAAGTTACCACTGCATGTTGCCGGACCATTGACATTAAGGCCGTGTTTGATTAAGCTCAAGGTCACGGCGTGGTTCATTGTTTGATTGTTAACCTCTTGATCGTCTGCTTGAAAGGATTGCTGGAATCCTTGCGGATAGATATTTTGATCCCATCTTGTTGGGAATATTTTATTGATTCTCAGGTATCAAACCTCTTAGTATTAACTGTCTCTTTCAGTGTTTAGCGCGCTACTGTGTGTTAGAGAAACTTCTGACTGTATAGCACAGGCTGTACCGTTTGAGGTATTTTGTATTTTTGATGTGATTTATTCTGTTTTCTAAATTAGATCTGTTTATATTGAGCACAGAGTTTGTGTTTTGATATCATATAATACGAGTATCTCAAAAACGCGTTGTGAGCTACACAGAGGAACGTGGTCTGGTCTAATCGAATAAATTTTGGGTTCGTCAGTCCGCTGTTCCAACCGAATATTGGTTGTTCGGTCGCTAACAGATCTGTTATTACCTTTTATGCATTGTATGTAGAAAGGTAACTATGATATAAATTCAGTTCTTGAATCTATAATCGCTATCCACCAAAGCTTTGATTAGAAGTTTATGGTCTGTAAACGATGTCATGAAATTACCGGCTAACATATAATGAAAATTCTAAAACGGCAGATAAATGGTTAGTAAATATCCACCAAGGCACTGCAGGAAAGAAGCAAAGTGACTGCAAATTCCTGTTTTCTCATTATCACAGCATTATTCTGGTAGTGATGTAAGGAGCATCTGCCAAGCGTCTCAAAGTTGATTGGTTGATTCTGAACATAGTTAGCGCTTGTAATGTTTAATTCATACCTAGGTTTTGAGGCCACTGGTGAACTTTGGGGTATACGCGCAACGTATCCGATCATTTCTCAAATTCATCTTCGATATAAGCAAGGTCTATAGAATTAAGGTGTCTAGGATGCGAAAACAACATGGTCTCTTTGGCTACATTGTACTCTACCACATATTTGAAATCTCTTGAATTGTATGTTACTCTTTATCGATTATGCAATCATCTTAATCAGTTTCTGTATCTGTCAATGCTGTTCTAAATTCTGAATATCAAGTCCGCAGGATTTGTATCAGATATTGTTCCGTTAATTTATTTACTTTTATTCTAAGCACACAAAACTTGATACAGTTTGGTGTCCATAGATAGAATGCTGCACACAAAGATATGAATGACATTACTGAACCATTAGGGTCAGCAAGCTTATGATGATTGACATGGACTTATAATTTGTAAAACCGTGAAACAACAGTACCGATCACTATAATTACAATTTTCGTTATGAGAAATCCGGTGAACATACGTTGTTTTACCAGAAATTTAGTTGTTTTCTACCATAGGCGTTAGTGTGGGTTTTATTAAAGCCTTATGGTGTGATTACAGATTTTCTCTTCGATGTGTTCGAAATGCAGGTGAATAAAAAGAGTGAACTTGTTTGGAATTAGTAATGCCGATTAGTATTAGTTTGTAGTTGTCATCCAGTCGCTGTTGAAAATGATCAACACTACAGGAAGACTACGTGCCAGTTACCAGGTTAGACCCTCTGTAGGCCAAATATCAGGAGGCAGTTGAAGGTTGTAGTTAAGATATACTTGTTGGCGATCTCGTGGTAACGAAATAATACCGAGATCGTGCCAAAACCAACAAGCGGGGCTACTGAGCGTACGAGAGTTCGTGCAAAGTCACAAAAAACGGAAGAGAGTGCTTTTTGGTACACTTAAACAAACAGATACAATAAAACAATCACTGGTACAGTTGGTTATAATAGTTGATTTCATCACACTAATAGCGTTCTCTTCATAAAAGTAAGTTACTACAAGTTTACGAAAACCATAGTATTTAGCAACATAAAAGTTGTTCATTTCTGCAATTATCCTTAAAATACGATTTTCAAATGCATATTGTGATACATTTCTCTCAAAAATGTTTTTAATACACAAAGCCACAGTTTATGACACTGTATGTGTCAATTTTATGTCTTTCTTGACTACAAGGTATACAACGTACAACCGAGTTTCATCATTAAATAATGTTTCCAGAAAAATCTTTTGAATCTTTGCATTCGAACTCTTAGCATGGTAAATTAACGAAATAAGTGTATGGAACGAAGATCGTAACAACCATTTTTCGTCGACATTTTGTTCGACTACATCGAAAGTAGTCAACTATAAGACAAATTCATGAACAGTCTGGAAATTTAAATATATATAGAGGTGTAGCAATGTAACCAAGTGAAGCGTCAGTTGCACACGACATTATCGAAAACGGCTGGGAAAAACACGACAGAATCATTACGATTATTGAGTACAGATATATAAAAAACAAACTTGTTGAAAGGCTTTGAGTAAATTGCTTTGACACGTCAGGACATTACAGTTCATATATTTGTGCATGTATGTGATTTGTGGGCTAAGGACAAAAGGGTGACCGCCTTTGTTGGTCTTTTTCAGCAAGCTTCTGTGAGTGTCTAATCTTCTCTAGAACTAGCATATTGTAGGTGAGGACATTACATTTTCCTGTATTGGGTTCCAAAAGCATTAGAAAGTTTGCCGGATGGTCAAATAAAGTACTGTATTAACGTCCCCAACCACTTTATAGGGAAAATATGGCTTTGCGAAGGGGATCAGAAGAACCCTGTTCATTCAAAACTCTTGAACTTTGCCAAATCACCCGGCATAGTGCACCACTCTGCCGTACTTACAAAGATCAAAAGAATGAGGTCCATAAACCAACTATCCCAAAATGACTGACAATTCTACAGTGGAATCAAAAGATTGAGTTCAAACTAGGGAGTGTCCAAACTCGAGGTTTCGTGTGGAACTGTAACTATGCCCCGTTTCTTCCCATGTTCGACGTTGTGATATAAGAAAAACGCCCACAAAAGAACGGCTTTGCATCCAAACTTCCGAAATTGCAAAAGATGTTAGATCGAGCTAACCTAGAGAATAAGGTTAGACAATTCCATTGATACTATTCGTAATGAATTATTTTCAGCTATAGCTTAAGACAGAGTATTGTTCGAACAGAGGTTTCCGCATCTCTTCTTTTCTAAGTGGAAAAACTAGTTTAGTCATTATGTTCTTGGACAGAACATTCCACTCTCCATCTTTACTTTTACCCAACCCCTTATGCTGTCAATTTTCATCAGTGTGAAGTCTTCTTGAAGGTCATCTGAAAGATTTTGATTGGTAATTTCCAAAAAGGGGTATTGTGGATATCATAGTAATTTATACAACAGGTCACGTACATTTGAGTTTGTTCACATTTAATTTGGTTAAGCCCTGTTGTTCAACGGACTGAGTCATTCGTACAATAACAACTTATGTATACCATTGTAGCATTATTGTTGTGCTTGTATGAATATGTATGCTTGAGCATTGTTTACCGCCTACGCATATATTCATTCTGCTAACTTTAATGTTATTAGCTCAATTGATTCGATGATTCATTCATTTCCCTATGTATATATACATTTTAATCCTGTTCATTTGGCTCGCTCATTTGACTCATATGCTCACACCTTTGCGGCTTGCTTTTCAGTACTACTCTTCCATGTTTGCTAAGCCTACCTGTAATTTTTGTGATTTGTGAGTGGTGCATTAATAAACGTGACCAGCACCTCGTGTTCGTCTTCTGATTAATACACCGTTAGGACGTTAGCTAGTGACAGTTATCAAGACGAACTGTATACAACGTTTAAGGATTATATTAAATATCGACCACCACAAAGTAATTGTCGATGCCTGAGTTGTCGATTTAAAGGATATAAATTTACAGAGAACGGAACCAAGACGGTCTCACTAATCTAACACTTACAACTGTTGATAGAAATGAACAGTAGACAGCGCGTTAAAACATAACCTGTAGAGATGTCATGTCATGAACATACTGGCCCATGAGATGCTAACATCTCCCGTTCTCCATGGATACCTGTACCCGATTGTTCTCGTAAAACTCAATCGCAGGCAAATAACCACATCGTATCCATAAATCAATTTTTCTCCCATTTATGTCTATTCACACTGTTTTCAAAATTATTTACTTGATCAATTGATCAGTACTTGATTTAGTTCTTCTGAGCAGTCTTTTCCACTTTTCGATGTTCGAATTAGCTTCTTTTATTTTTTATATTGCAACCAAACAACCTCCTGCCCGATAATATGATAGCTAATAATTTTAAAAGTTCTACTGTCTTGAGGTAAAAACGCTCAGACTTCAAGATACACAAATCCACGAATAAATACGGGACTGATCAGATATAGTATAGCCAAGTAACCGGACTCCACCCCGTTAGACACCAATAAACTTTTCTAATCTAGCCAAGAAATTACGAGCTCAAAGAAATTTCTTGATTTACACTAGCTTGCCACATAGAAACCAGAAATTGACCATGTGCTAGCTTAATTGAACATGAATTTAATTGAAGAAACTTGCCGACTTGTAAATCAACATTAAACAGAACCAAAATCTGATCGGGCTGAACGGAAATGCCTTGACTGAAGTAATGATAGCGGTTTGATATTGTAGTGACTTACTTTTATCACGAGAACACGATTGGTTTGATGAAAACAATTATTATGATAACCAATAGTACCAGTGACTGTTTTAATGTGCCCTTAGTTTAACTGTGCTAAAAAGCATCCATTATTACTTACTTCGATTGTGACCTCGTGCGATTTCTGTTACGCTCTGTAACCAAGCTTGTATCCTGGCACGATGTCGGTATTCTTTCGATACCACGAGATCGCCGGCAAATATATCTCGACTTGGTCCATTAGCTGGCTTCTGATATTTGGCTTCTGGGGGATTTTATGGATATCCTGGCACGCGTTCCTTTGTAGTGGTGTTTATAGTCAATCGCGACTCGACACCACGCTACAATATCAACAATCCACTTCTTCATAACTATGATGTATTTACAACGACGCTTGCATCATTATCAACAAGAATTGTATTGAAATAGACATTACAGCAGCACTATAATGTGCAGTAATTGTGTAAGCTACGTAACACTGTAGGGATGAGTTTTAATGAACCAAATCCAAAATTGCACAAAACAGATCCATTTCGCGCTGTATCGGACTGAGTCCGAATTGTTCAGCGTGATTTGTTCAATATATACTAAATACTCACGAGTAGGTAAAATTATGGTATGATATGAAGCAGACATACAATGCAGTAGGCGCTCATTAAAAACGTGACAAAATGCCCCACCGTCCACATGCTAGGTGAATCGAACTGATAGGTTTACCTGCTATGTACTCTGTCTAACTTCCCAATTTCGTGAACTTTTCAAGTCCATAAAAATCATCACATATATTCATAGGACCTTCAGGTCTAGATGGATATATGGTACTTCCTCGTTATATGTACGTTCTAAAAAGATTTGTTAGTGAAAAACGATTGGAGACCTCCCTCTTAACACCATTAGGTGTAAAATGTTAAGGATGAACACCGGAGATAATCTACCTCGTACTCTATGAGTAATCTTGATGTTGTATTAGTGCCCGACCTTACCATTATATAATAACCTGCATATCTCTCATGGGTAGCATTTTCTATCTTCGGGCTTTTTATACTTTATGTGAAATAGTCCGGTAACTATTTAATACCGTCTTCATTATTTGCTTAAGAGCTAGTTCAAATACAAATTCTTACCACACGTATCTATACCCTAAGAAACTTATCATTTCCTCTAGAGGAGTTCGAAAATTGTTAAACTTCAAGCTACTCGTTTTATTAATAAACATTTCTCAAATGGCCCTAGCTACTTTACACTTCGTATCTAGAATGGTCAAAACATACGTCGCGTACTTCCCCCTTTAATTGCATACTGAGTAGCATGTACAGTAAGAGCGTTGCCACCAGTACTTACACTATAACTGAAAGGACAAATAACAGAGCTAGAGGTCCAAATTGAAAGGTTGATAATAGATCGAAAACTCTTGTTTCTAGCATCCGTGTGTACAACATATTTAACTCAATTCATACATCAAAACTGAATCATCAACTATATAATAAGGATCACACTCCTACCCAGGTCCCTACTCCTGGCAAGACTAGTAAGTGAAAAAATAATAGAAAGAAAGGCCATCCCAAACTACTCTTGACGAAGACTGCGGATGAGAAGCATCACTTTGGTCAAGCTAGATTGTCTATATGAAAGCCGAAACGCAGCAGTAGGTAAGTCACATCCATTGTGGACAATTTGAGATTCAGCGCATGTTGAAGAAATTTCGCTGACTACCACGGACCGTCAATTAAGCTATCCTTTCGATTCCGAAAGACAAAATATCGTGAACCGTAAAAGATATCTCTATAAGATCAGAAAAACGCTTGAGAACAAACGAGCGTGATGACTCATAGAGTGCGCGAAATAGCATGTGGTAATCAGTATGACGCTCACAAACACGATGAGCAAAATGGCGTTGGCTATCATATGGTATGGGCCTTCACACAACTATGTTAATAAGTGTGTCCCATATGTTACTACGGTCATCATTACCGCATATCAATAACTAATTCCTATCTCCCTTATTATTATCATCATTCCTGTTTCCACTCATTTATTTATTCTTAAAACAGTCGTCATCTCTTAACGCTCAGATTATTACATTATCATTCTCACACTGCAACCAATCAACCTCCTGCCTGGCAATATGGTAGCTGCTGGTATTCAGAAATCCTACTGCCCTCAAACAAACAAAGCTACAAAATATACAAATACATAAATAACTATCACACTGACTAGAATTAGTGCAGTAAAATGGCTAAACTATCACCGAATGAACATGACCAAACAATTAGAACCGCAATGAGACAATAAGAAACAAGCATAAGGAAATCCATCAGTTTATACAAGATCGTGGCAAATATATTGTATTTAATGTATACCGTAACTATGGATCACCACCTCATAGCTAAAAATATTCTCTCAACATCCAATATAGGGTGCAAGAAATAAATATTTCCTTATTTCTGTCCTAGTCACATCATGTGTTTGTTGTTCTCTACTAATTTATTAACCCAAAGCTGTTGAAAATTACAGGAGGTTGATTTAACCATAACCGACCTTGAGTTGTCCAGCCACCTTTAGGAACATTCGCTGCAGTTGGCTGGCTACTTCGGCTCTGTTCCTCGTTTGATGTCTTCAAACGGATTTTGTCTTGGAAAATTTCTTCCAGTTCCTCCTCTTCCAGACTCCATTACTGTGGTCACACATATAAATTGCTAGCTACAACAGCGGGTTTCCAAAAATGCCATATTCTTCAGAATATGATATTCAATGGCCTCCAAATAGGTCTGACGTTTTCGTCGTTGTTTGGAAACACTATGTTTACTTGTTCCGACTGGAACAAGCTTCATCTGCATCAGTGGATTCAAATAGTATTTAAATGAGTCCAATTTGAACTTTTCGATACTTTATATTTGCAGGTTTTATTATTGGTTCAAAGCTTAGATTTCTGCTTTCCGTTCTGAATGTTTGGAGTAACAATGTATCCCCACAAGTATGCTTACTGTATATCAGTATTAGGTTTTAGTGTGTAGCTTGGGTATCCAGTAGCAATAAACCAAACCTTGACGTAGTCCCAAATCATCTGATTGCAATCACCCATAATGTTGGGTGTGTCAAACTCATGGGGTAAGTTAAAAGTGTCCCTAAGTTAACCTGATTATAGGCTCCCCAATTGTGATATTGAGGAAGACAGATTCGGTTTACAAAATAAAGAACTAAGTATTTCTTGTGTTTTATATAGTGACTTGTTAAAGCACCTAGATTTTCCAGAAACACTACTTTTCTTGTTTGGAACCCTTGGAAACGTAACTTGGCAAGTCTGCTGCTTTCTGTTCTTGTTTGTGTATTCCTTTGATTTATTTTCATATTATTAAGTCCACACATATTTAGTTATCCGTGCCTCAGAGACGAGCGATGATCGTTTTGGGCTTAAACTTATTATAAAAGTGCCAAATGACACGGTGCTTATCCTCCAGTTCCCCACAATATTTAAGCATGCCCTGATATTTAGTCTAATTGGTCATTGGTAGTGAAATGTAGATGCTTTGCACGTCGTTGCAATAGTCTAGGTAATAATTCAAAGTTTACGAAATCTAGTTTTTAAGTGGTACCTTAGCCATCTTTCCTCTAATTCGGAATATCTATCCAAATATAGTACTTATTATCTTATCGTTTAACTCAGCCAATTCATTTAAACTAACCAAAGTTGCTAATAAAAGGTCACATGATTGAGACTATGCTGTTTGTGTAATCTAATGCAAGCCAGTAATCTATGGATTTGAGTACTACTGCATCGACAAGAATTTGTACTGCTAACCACGTACATGCCTAATTTAGGACAACTCATTAAACGAGTTAAGGTCCATATATTCGGTTTCCATTGACTTATTATTCTAAGGGAAATAAATAGCTTCCCTCACCTAAGTCAAGTTAGATGGAGAAGGGTACATTAACGTATGAGATGCTATGTGGTTGTATTATTTATGTCCAGTTATTTTTCCTAAAAGCTTATTGATTGTTTAGCTATAGTTTGTCGATGACTTCCACTTTTGTTGACTTTATTTCTACATTATTTTGGTTCGTTTTACGTGTTTTTTTCACTATAATAGCTAGCCCAGGGTTTTGACAGGCCTCGAAACAGCAGAGAACCTTCTGTACTGATATGGGATGTGACGAAATACACTGGGTCGCGGCATCCCAACGTGAAGTCTACAGATCGAGGTTCAGTTTGTGCGAATGACCTCCATACACATACATATTCACTCCCATTTGCAATAAGTGGTTCAGATTATAGTGCACCAGATACTCAAGCTACGTCATCACTTGTTTCGGTATATTCCTCAGTTGCGGAAAAAGAATGGATATCTAATACAACTACATGTGATAAACCTTTGTGTGATTTAGGTATGTTAGACGAAAACATGTTTTTGGTTGATACTTGTTTGTTGTGTACATTTTGATCTAATCGACATCTTCACATATCAGATCAAAGATAATCCATACGCATTAATTAACATACTTCATTTCATGTTGTATTTTTGTAATTTTGTTTGCGTCATGTAAATATAATTATCCACCGCTTGAAACCATCATCTAGACATGGCATCATGAAATGGTTTTCCACCAGTTTGAATATATAGTTAGAAGTAGAGAAATCAAATTAATTGTGAGCTTTTAGGTATGAATTGACTGATTCGGTCAAAAATGTATACAAACCGTACAAATCATTCGTCGTCAAACTAGACACTTGTTTCAGTCATTAAACTTTCTTGGTCTGTTCCATTTAGGAAACTTCGAGAAATGTACGTCAACATGGTTTTGAACAGTATTTGTGAATGCTAGTCACTGTGATAGATTAGGTCAGCCTGTGTTTATCAAAAAGAAAGCGATAGCATAACAACTAAATGGTTCAACCGTTAATCATTAGGTTTTAGGCTTAAATTCCCTGGCACCTGTTTGGACAGCAGATTGTTCCTGCTAGCTTTCATGTCAAGTGTGCGACTCAAGGCTTAGTACAGTAACCTGAACTGGACCACTGAGTTAAACCAAGATCAAAGCACTTAATGTTATTCCTGGTCAGTTTTCGAGCCTTCACTTTATCCTAGTTGTGAAAGGTCAGAGACTTAACTCCCGATGAAAGCAGCTTTCTGTGTTTATGAAATCTGACCCCAGGACAAGAATGTTTGTCTTCCCTCTGTATATGATCACCATTACCTCCGGGGACATCGTTATGTGTATTAACAATACTGACGTCCAGAACCTTTAGTTATAAATTATTATATAGGTTAATCAAAGTATTTCGCATACACTTCATAATAGTCTTGACGTGTTGTAAGCTACTTCGTTGGTGTTATTTCTGATGTATAAAAAACAACAACACTTGTTTATTAGTTTAGCGCTTAAAATAAAACCTGAATTATCCATTCCCTTTTATCAGAACTTACTATCGTTCCCAATCTCTACCTTCTTTTGTTTGAAACTACATGGTGGAATGGGTTTTTCTTCTAACAAAATAACATACCTGAACATAAAATACTGATTACGATAGTGAGTATGGCTAGAATTCATCTAGCAAATAAGCTATTGGAGTATATGGCAACTGTAGGTCATTCACTCTCCAACAGATTTATTCTGTAACCATCAGGCTTAGTTCTTCCCCTATCACATTAGATAGTTTCACAATATTACTCACTAAGAGATATAAAAACAAGTTTCATTTACTTGCCAATGTTAACCAAACTATTTACTCCCAGCAATTTCATCTTTAAAATAGCTACCACTAATTCGACACTTATAAAGTTTGTCTAAATATGGACTAATCAACTTTAGCTTCTGTAAAATGTCTGGTGTGCCACTCCAACTGACTTTTTATGTAATAAGATGAATTATGACTATAAGTTCTTCTCTGAATGTATTTTCTTACTTGAGTTGAGAGGATGGGGTAATTTAAAAAATCTTCAAATGTCCTCACCATTTTATAGATTTTTCTGTCGATAGTTATCAATGGTAAGGAATTCAGTAATCATATTAATATTTTTGGGTCTTTTTTTACCAAAAGGCATTCAAGATACTGCATCATTTGCGTGGCTTTCTAAAAGTTCATTTATTGCTGGCATGTCAGGAACCTACCTGAAAGTGTTTGACTTATCTGGTATGTTTTTTTAAAAACCTATCTTACATGAGTTACCTAGAATTTGTTTTTTATTGCATTATCAAATATTCTTCTTCTTGAGATTTCTACGGTAATAGATATTTGAGCGACGTAATAATAAATTTAAACGACATGAACGAACTGGTAAAATTAGATTCTCGGTGCATTAAACGGTTGTTCAAACATTTTAACTTATTAATGCGATGCAACTTTCAGAAGAAAAACTTAATTTGATGTGGATAAATTTGCTGACTGATTGTTGTGCTTAGTTTTCGAAAGATATGCGATATATCTTGGTACGAGTCACCAAAACCAAATACTACTGTCACTTTCTGTTTAATAAAGTTAGCTAGTTAAGTCACTATGTAGAGTAGTTTAGGTTTCTGGTCAAGGTCAGCGATTTATTGATGGTCAAAGTTTGGAAATATTAAGTTACATGATGCATGACTGATTAGAGTTGGGGAGATAACCTCATTATATTCTCTGATATGTTGAATTCTTAAAAATTTCCATTCTTTTGTTTCTTTTATATCATTCTTTTAGTTATTCACCTTTGTTTGCCTTGTACGTTTCACCTCTTCATTCCTTTACTTGTCAAGTTCCTCTTTTTACCACAATGCAAATTATAAGAACCACGTTCCAACTACTGATCTGCCTATGCGTCTTTTCCGAAGTTTTATGACTGGACTTTTTTAGTGCGATAACACTTATTTACATTTCTAGCTGTTAGTACGTACAAAGTAGTTTTGTCATTATATAGTTCATCCTTCACCAGTTCAATTATTCTTTACTACCTTTTCTGGTTCCTATGATAGATCCGTCAAAAGTTTGTCAAATTACTACAACTAGGGCAGTCTATGGTTTGACAGTTGATCCCTTATGCAGTAAACGTTTCGCTTCATTCTGTGAGGTAGGTTTTTCTATATATTATTTTAATTTTCTGACGACACATTATTTAAATGTCGCTTGTGTGTGTTTTTAATGTTAAAAACACTAGGTTAAATTCAAATATCCATCATGAAATTCGGTTCGGTACTCTTGACGATTCACATCCAAACTCTGCACTTGTTGTCGACTAGTTTTTCACCGCTCGAACTTTCAAGTTTGTTAGAATTAATCACCCTTATCAGGAATCTTTGTGAAGATTCGTCCTGAATAAACTTACATATATACTAATATTATATATATATATATCAAAACTTTTGTCAAATATTATTTGTTTTCCTCTGTTTATATTTGATTTAAATACCTATATTGTTTACAATCAATAATGAAGAAAAGTGAGATATCGAATAAAATACCATTGTATCAAATCTTTAAATCACTGATGGTTAAAGGAGTTTGCCGACTGTTCGCTAATTTCTTTCTGATAATGATTATCATGCTCACTAGTGACTGGCTTCACAAGATATTTCCTGGAGTTTTAGTGTGAAGCAGTGACCAGTGAAATTCAACCGGGTCTTTTGTGAGATAGTAACTCACTGAAGGCAATGGTGGATGTGTCGCTTAATTTCATGGATTGGTTGAAGTTAGACATTAACACCGTTGGATGCCGGCTCAGTGGTCTAGAGGTTAATCGCTCGCGCGCGAGACTGATAGGTCCTGTGTTCGAGTCCCGCAAGTGGGATCGTGGGTGCTCACTGCTGAGAAGTCCCATACTAGGACGAAACGGCCTTCCAGTGCTTCCAAGATTTACACGATGGTCTAGCTTCAACTGACTCATGAACTCAACTACTAAATGTTTTGGTCGGTATTCTATATTATCCTCAAACTTCGTGTGCTGTTCGTCCTGATAACCGTTACCAGATAACGCCCCCAACAGTCTATAAATCAGAAGACGAATACGAAGCGTTGATCACGTTTATTATTGCACCACGCACAGATCACCAAAACTACAGGTACACAAACCAAGAATAATAGGGTTGTGTCGAAAAGCAAGCGAGCGAGTCGAATGAATAAGATTAAAATGTACATGTTTATATACATAGGAAAATGAATGAATCAATTAAGCTAATAACATTAAAGTTAGCAGAATGAATATATGCGTAGGCGGTAAACAATGCTCAAGCATACATATTCATACAAGCACAACAATAATGCTACAATGGTATAGATAATTTGTTATTGTACGAATGACTCAGTCCGTTGAACAACAATGCTTGACCAAATTAAATGTGAACAAACTCAAATGTACGTGACCTGTTGTATAAATTACTATGATATCCACAATACCCATTTCTGAAAATATTTCATTTTTATCTTAAAAAAATTCAACGCAAAATTATTGTTTGTAAAGCTAAACCGTGAATACTGACAATAAAAGAAGGAAAACTGTGGGCTAAAATTACCAACTTTCATGGAATAGTATCCATCATTAAAGATAGATAGAAAACTTTGGGAATATTGAATAAAGTTAGACGATCATCAGGTTATCATGTTTTAAGACTAACCTGATAATTTTTCTAGTTAGCTAAAACGTTGATTTAAGTCAGGTTAATCTTCGTCCCTCAGGTTGCACATCTGAATTATCGAAAGTACACTCTGATTAATTGCCAATAACTTATCATCCAACTGCATAAACGCTAATAAACTCACTGCTTTCAAAAGTCAAGGAATTTTTTTTATAGGAATAACTGATTAATTATTCTTACCCTAGAAACTTTGCATAAATCATATTTTTTCTGCTTAAAAAAATTCACTTCTCTTTACATTTTGTATTCCCGAATTTCAGCGTCAGGTTTCATTATGGAGATTGGATAATTTAGAAAAGCCTGTAAGTTAGTATTAAATTATTTCTGTCATAATTGTATAGAAATCATCTGTATAGGGTTTTGAAGATTGTTGTGTTTTTTAATTGAGATCATGAATCGATCAATGTTAGATCAACATTGAATGGAAATTCTTTTTTTTCCTGGTTACATTTTGATCCTAAAATATCAATTCTTTGGAACAAGGCTTACGAGATATTTTTGAAATTCCAACTTGTTAAAAGTCACATTTTCTTGTCTATGATGACAATGTGCTTTACTCTTTACATTATGGTTTTCTATTATCAACAATCATTTTGAAATATCCTAGGAATATGCAACTTAAATTCCTGCCAATAGACTTCAATATATGCAACTTTAAAATGAATAGTCAACCTTCAGCTTTTTTTTTAAAGCTTAATCAAAACCTAAATTTCATACAAGCCAGTAGATTTACCGTTTACAATCATATTAGAAACTTATATGTTTCTTTATTACCCCTACATAGATACATAGGATTCTGTTTAGGAAACTTATATAATGAATGTATTAGTCTTTAAAAAATTAAAACATAATCATTTGAATACATATTTGTCGGAGAAATTAACATTGTTATCAGTGGAGTGTTTAAGTATTCAATTGACAGTGTTATAATTCAGGAAATTTACATTGTTTTGGATTTTGCAACCATATTTAACAATTGATACTTTTAGTGATGTTAAACTTTAGAATCTGTTTTCACGAATCATTAATAATAGAAAAGTTTGAGAGAGAGTGAGTGAGGAGCATAATTAAACTGTTTTATTGACACTGAAATGCACATTTGGTTTCCTTGATTATTACCGGAAATAGGTTTTTGAATTTAATTATAGTGTTATATGCTTATGATAATCAAATTACTTACTTACTTACTTACGCCTGTTACTCCTCATGGAGGAGCATAGACTATTCACCAGTCTGTTTAGTGTTTTTTAGTGGGTTAGTTTTCTACGGGATGTGGTCGCTAACCCCATGCCCAACCCTCTTCCTTTACCCGGGCTTGGCACCGGCAGTAACTTTAGAAGGGCTACAGGCGGAGTTATGATAATCAAATATTTTTATAATATCTCAATGAATAGGAAATTGAATTTCTAATGTTTCATGACTTAGCGTAACGCTATAAATTCAGTTGTATGTTTATTATCATAAACAATCTATTTAGTGCATAGTTTATTTGAAATTATCAAACCTACTCTTGGTAGTGATATCTACAGATGTATATGTCATAGTCTTGATTTGTCATGATTCATATATCAAGTTATGAAATAAATCATTCATATTTCAAACAAACTCAACCAGATACTGATGATATTTCATTTTCTTATAATTACTGGAAAAAAAAACACCCTTAGGTTTATACATTTATGGAGTCTGGTGATGTTCTACAAATCAAGTGGAGTCCTTTAAGGTAAAAAAATTTAATCGTACATATAACTTGTTGAAAATGTCAAAAAATTTATTTGTATATAACAATGTGAACATGTAAAGAAATGCATAAAGTACTATGCTCAAATAACTCAAACAGTATGAAACTTGTTTATTGTCATACTTCTGAATCAATCAATCATTGTTACCATGAGATGACAGTACGAGTGTATATTGGTTAAAGTTTATAACACTGCGGGATTTGAATCGACAACTGCATCTCTGTGCTAATGTGGTGTGGCAACTCGAACTGATGTACGTACGTACGAAGTTCAACGTTGTTACTGACTAACTGAGGGGCATATAGAGAATAAATGTATCTTCAGAGCTTCTCAACTTTTAATTGGAAACATGAAAAATTATAAGCTTTTGATAAAAGATAAGACAATACTGAGTGAGTAGGTTTTTAATGTTCACTATTAAGCTTAAGTGTTAACAGGATTTTCAAGTCATTTCAGTGCAATTAATGTGCATTTTGTAAGGTGCTTTATAAAACCAGTTAACAATATCTATTAAGTAAGTTAATCAAAGAGCTTAATAAATCTATCTATTTAATTCATTTAAGCACCTAAACATTGGTATGAGGAGTCACCAAATATATATGCGCCACACAAATCATTTGATTTGTGTATCGACTGGAATATGGCCCAGGCACCCAAACTGAAGTAGTTGATTTTCTTAAGGATCCATACCCGAACCGTTTGACTTAAGGGTCTAATTCATAAGGCAGTGGAGCAATGTGAGGAGATACAGTCCCATGGCAGCCGATGACCAACAATGAGTTCATACGCTATTTGTCCCTTCAGGATCCCGGAGCCTATGTGCACCCTTGGTTTGAAATCAGGGTTTTCCAACTCCCCTAAGTGGATCCTCTGTATCCACCAACCTGGTTGAAGCTGCAGACATTTGCATTTCGTTCTCTCAACTCCGTAAACGACAATCCAGCTTCGAGAAGTCAATGAATAGGACTTCCCCGACAGTGACTGTATACGCGTCGCCATGTGAGAGCATCTGGAGAGGCAGAGCGAACTCTCCCCACCCTCGATCATATCAGGGGATTTGGGGGCGTTCTTCGATTTGTGATTGATATTATTATTGTTAAGTCCAATAAGCTCAAAGGCAGTGTATTATAAATTACTTTCAACTACATCATATGCGTACACTCAGTTTCCTTTTTTACATTCTAGAGAAGCTTGGCTAGGAGTTCTGGTAACAGATTCTTGTACAGTTAAATTGTACGACACATACCCTATGTTTTGTCAGTCTATAGAAGAACCTGAACAGATCCCGTTAGAAAGATTGCTATTTCGTAAGTATCTTTTTTTCTTCCTTAGATTTCTAGGGAATATTGAATATTATCATACTCCACTCACATATAAATAGTTTATGTATTTAATTCTTTTATATTGTTTGATTGAATCTTCCTATTTATGTTTAGGATTACAATTGATCAGTGTCTTATTGGCATATGTGCATCCTGTACTGATTGCCTCGATATTGCCTAAAGTCACAAGCATTACAAGGAAAGGAGGTTGGTGGCTAGCACAAGCTAGTGACTATCAGGGCTAAGTAGCTAATCGGATAACTTGAGGGCGTTTGAAGCGAACGGTTCTGGGTTCGAGCCCCGGAGTGAACATCAACCCTGGGACGCAAGTATATGCAGCTGAAGAGTCCCAAATAAGACGAGACGCGCGTCCCGTATTCCACTTCTAGCCACTATCCTAGTTTATGTATTTGTTGTATTTCATCAAACTCAAAGTGATTCAGCACTGGTAAAATATTCATTTTAGTACTTTGATATGTACAATTCATACATATGTGATGCGCTTCTATTAAGAGGTTATTTTGATATTCTTCAAATATATCTGTTTCACAATGAAAAAGCGGGAAGCCCTAAAGACGTTATATGGTGATAGGTCAAAGGACGTGTAAAACAAACCATACAAATACACATTGTTGATTAGAATTATTCATTGATCAAATTCAGATATTTTCAACCAACAGAGAGGTGTTTCTCATCATTGATAGGTTATAATTTTATTATATAGCCACTGGTTCTATTACTTACTAGTAATTATTTAAGCGAATCAGTCAGTAGTTTCTCTGCTTTCATATTCATATCCTTAACGTTGCTGAGTTTTTGAAATTTAATTTAATCATTCAAAACTGACTACATTTTATCAATATAATCTGTTTTGTTCATTAGAACTAGTCCTCATCCTTTGTTCGGCTTGCTTACGATCAGTGTGTTGTCTTCTCTAAGCTTATGTAAAGCATCTCGGTCTTGTTTGGTAAGCGGAGATTTCATGGCATATTCATCATTCTTGTATTGTTGGCAACTGTCAACCGAAGTGGTTTTAAACCCAGTAAGTTCCTCGACTGACTTCAAGGCAAAGTTCGTTGTTTGTGAAAATAAATTTTCAAACTTCACGTCCACATTTAGTTGGTGCTCGTGGTAACAGAATTTAGTGCCATTCAATAAAGCCTAAAAATTGCACCATATTCGATCTAACACTGAGGAAATTGTGGACATACCGTTTTGGGTTATTAGGGAACTTCCTTTCTGGTTTTTGATGTTCAAACGATTTCACTAATCCTATCTCTAATATTTGGAATCTACTTTGGCTAATATGTCGACATTGTCTATAAATTGTGATTTAGTTTCCTATGGTAGATTATCGACAGTAGATTTTCTCCATAAAAGATTTCTTTCCTAATAGACAATGTACAGTTTTTTAGGCTTACTTGTTTTATTTCTTATTCATCTTTTAGCGTCCAGTCGATCAAATGTTAACCTGGTGGCATTCAGTTGGCATCCATCAAATGTAAACTGTCTACTAACTTTGAATCGTGATGGCTGTTTAAATGTAGCTCAACTTGTTGAACGTCCAGCCATTGTAAGTATTTTGTCGTGTAAACAGCTATCATTTAGTTATTTTCATACATTTTTTATTGTGCCTTAAATCTAAAGTCTATAGTATTATTTCATTACTTTCTATAAATAACATTTGTTTCATCTTAGCGATTTTCTTATATTCATGATATCTTCCCCAGTAATTTGGCTTAACAATCAAAGCTTAACTGATTAGAAAGTAAGTATGACTTGTAAATTGATTTCTTCCAATCACTTATCATAATAGTACAAAATACTTTGTATGTAATCATATTACTAGAGAAAAATCTATTCTTTTGACTAGTGGTATTATTATGATTGCAACCTATTCAGGGCCGTAAGTCAACAAATCGGTTCTGTGTACAACTGTCATTTATCTACACATCAATCAATCAAACTGTGTCAACATTCTACTTATTGGTTTTAACAATGGATAATTCGTTTAGTAAAATCACATTAACATTGTGATTTATAATAGTTTAGATCTGTACTATCATTAAAATACTTATTTTGACTTGTTTATTTTTATTTAGTGAATTTCTAATTCTCAGAAGGGGTTTGTGGAGGTTTTGGTCTAGTTGGTTAAGCTCCTGGCGCGAGACTGATATGTCCTGGGTTCGAACCTCGCGGAATGCGAGATCGTGGATGCTCACTGCTGAGGAGTCTCATACTAGGACGAAACGGCTGTCCAGGGCTTCCAGGTTTTCCATGGTGGTCTAGCTTCAATTAACTCATGATTTCAATCAGTGAAATTTCTAATTCATTGTGTACTGATACTAATCATGATACCATGTTTCTATTTCGAGTTCAGATTGATTTTGTATTTCCCTGTTTTAATTAAACATTGGATTTCGAAACAGTTTTTTTTCTTTTCATTTTGCCCATTTCACTATGAGTATTGTTTAGTAAATCATTGTTTCATATGCTATACATCGTAATTATTGTCTTTTTGTTTATATTGTGTTTGGTATTTTTTGTTGTTGTTGCAATAATAGGGATGGTCAGCTAATCAAACGTTAGTATGGTCATATACTCGTGATTGGACTGCATTCAATTTAACAGGAATTGTTAGCAGTAATCTACAAACACTAATGGAATTTTTACATGCAGTTAATGAAAATAAACGATCAGAGAATTCTGTTAATAATGGTAATACTACATATAGTCTCTCAAATGCACAATATCTTGCAAATTGTCAGAATATTAAAAACAAAGATTATCATAATGATAATATTAATGGTAATAAGTATTGCCATGAAAAACAAACAGCACTTCTTGTTCACTTGAAGCGTTGCATGGAGTTGGATATTGCAGTCGTTATGCGAAAACGTGCTGAACTAGGCTATGGACTCGATGTGAGTATTGTTAATTTTTTTTCACCATAGTATATCTTTAAATGATAACGTTTTCTTTTTTGTACTTGTTAAACTCATTGTTTTGAGATTCGTGAACTTAAATGCTTGGTACTGGTAGGATTTATGAGAGGATTGAAGGGCAAAAAGTGTGGATTAATAATGCAAATGCAAAAAATATTCGGTAATAAATATGGAATTTCGTTGTGAACCAAGTAATCTCTAGTGTTGCTTGTGGTATAACGGGGGTTTTCACTCTTCGCTTTTCCACACTGTGGAAGGATACTTCTCCATAAAGTACCTGAAAAGGATACTGGGTTATAATTGTTGTGTATCCATTTCAAGAGCGTAATTATGGAGCCTAATGAGCAACTGCTTTTGGCCGGCCATACACGGACTTCAGTTCAGTCTTTCTTAAATATGTTAGCTCCGTAATTTAAAGGCCTGGCAGCGTCTGACGGGTGAAGTGTACTATTTTCAGGGCAAACTTGCTCTAAATGCTCCTTCAGTTGTAAGAAGGCAGCATCGCCGAAGATGCTAGTTGTCTGATGGTAAAGCGTACTATCGTCATATTCGATGCGGTAGGCAGTACGACTGTCCTCGAACTATAAGTTCGCCGCTTTTGGTTTTACCGCTCTTCAACCAACTTGGTTGGCATGGTAGTACACAAAGGAACTAGTGTTCTAGCCGTTATAAATTGATGGGATTGTCATGATATACGTACCTTGAAGCCATTTTAGTGTAGCACCTACGGTCAAGATGTTTAACGTTCATACACAGATATCATTTAAAAATAACTGACATTCCAATATTCACTATTCAGTTATTTTGTTATAATTGAAGATTATTCAGCACTGTCAACCTCCAACTTTCGTTGTATCTCATCAATTCAGGAACTTTTTGGACTTATGAGTATCACGTTTATTTTAAATCAACAAAGGTTAATATAAGCGTTGAACATTTTTCAAACTCAAACATAACTAGATTGGTGATAAATAGCTCAACGTTGTTTTAGGTGATAAGATGCCGAGTTTCTGCTAATGTGATATTCATCATGCATAAACTTTGTTATTATCCATATCGTTGATTGGATGACACAAAAAGAACATGTTAATCCAGGGTATCCGGCATGCTTTCATTTCACCTACTTAATCTTAACTTTATGAGCTGATACTATCATAGTCAACAGTGAGGTGAACAGTAAAGTAGTAACCTTACAGAATCGTAATCGGACTAAAGTTGAAATATATTTCTTACTAGATGTTAGCTTATTACCGCAGCTACATTAGATAGAGTAAAAGTAATGTTTTCAATATCTTAACTCTGTGCAATAATAATAAGTTTTCTTATCCATCCTTTTCTACAGATTACGGGTGCCACTTATGTTGAGATTGTCAAAGACGATGTACAACTTCGAACAATGTGGACATGGATAAAATGTAAGTTTTGTTTAGTTTATTATCGAATGTCAACGAACTTAAATGCGACCCTTAAAACGACATTGAGAAATTCTCAATTCTACTCAGCCAGTCAGAAACAGTAATTATGAATGAATGATTTTATGATGCAATATGAAAGAATTTATGAAGTACAGTTTGCTTATACCTGGCTAATGAACTTTTCTGAGTTGTTTACGGTCTTTTAACCGTTAAGGTTTCTGGGGTTCGAATAAGGATTTATGTTTAATCAAATTATTGTTAACCTGTACCTCCCAACCTTAACTTTTAGTAATAAATACCATATTTATCAATAAAATTAACTATCCTATGGGCTGAGATTATTGACAACTTTTTCAGTGTTCAATAAGTGGTTTTTATCTAGAACTTTCGATCATGTTATTATCTATTTTGTGAATGAGTTGTGTATATTGAGTTTTTATTTACTTGAAAAGATTTCATTTCAAGTATCTGGAAATATCCATAGCTGTCTATTATGAATAAATCAATGTGGTACAACTTAATGTATTAGATGATAAAATATAAATCGAAAGTTTGGAGTTAAAATGAACTCTCAAATGAAAATCACACTGTAATATTCAACAATTTCACTAAACAAACGGAAAAATGATCGAAAGTACTTGATACAACCCACTCTTATTAAACATTAAAAACGTTTTACATAACTTTATGCATACATGATCATCATCGTGTTTCAATATTATATGCCATGACCTTGACAAGTGGCTTACTCTTTGTTGAATGATTTATCAGTTTAGTTTAGTTTAGTTTAATCACAGGTTTTTTCTGAATACTGTATTTTAGCTCGAAATATCAAATCACAATGTAACCTGCTTTTACAGTGCTAATTAATAATCTGCTGTATTTAATTCGAATTAAAAAGCTCTATCCAATTTAGAAATAAGTGGATAGTGTTAGTAAATTCATTTCATTTGTAAAAGTTTTGATGTATATGCATCGTAAGCAGATTGCCTGTATATTATTGTTGAGTTTCAAGCATTTTAAAGCAAGTTTTTAAGTATCTAGTAGTGGAGCTGAGGACTTACTCTTCATCTTATTTAGGGCTCGTCAGCTGGATTTACCTGCATTCCGGTGTCAATGATTACATGGGGACAAAAAAAAGACTAATCGATCGCAGTCCTTAACCTCAATAATAGGGAAACATAAACCCGTACAAATAAATTGAAATCCATCCTGGTTGTACAAGCCAGTGGTTAAGTGTATAATACTTTGAGGGAATACTTTGGAAATAAACACGAGTTCTGGATTCCATTGTTAACCACTGTTAAACTTCGCATATATATATATAAATCTTTATTTCGCTCTAAACCTACTTATTTCTGTATATGATTTGGGAATGAGATACCAGACGAAATGTTATAACTTGTGACCGGCGATTAATGTGCGATGAATTATCGATCGGATCAAAAACACGTAAAACACGTGCGAGCAGCCTAGAGTCCTGATTGCCCCTGCTTTCCGCCTAGCCCAGCCAGTTAAGTCCAGAACACCACTCTCAGCCTCTGCAATATGAATCATGTATTTCAAACATACTCTGTTTATATACCAATCAAGCAAACAACAAAGTACCAATAAAAAATATGAAACAACATTCGTACAAGAATTAGCCGGATGTGGCAGTGAATGAGGGAGGTAGTAATTAATATCCTGGGTATAACTCAAGAATGGTAAAACGTAAAATAATAGTTTATGGGTCAAAATAAAGCTTATAATAAGAGGAATATGAATATGCATAGTTTAGTTACTTAATAATTATACAATAGAAATATACGTTTAGTATTGGTCCATAAAAGGATCCCAAAGTTACCATTCATTATGTTTCTCGGGTCCTAACACGAAAATAATCTGAGATTTGGCATAGTTATAAATATCTTTTCAGCCGATATACTTTTTATCATGAACTGATTCAGTCATAAAATATCACGGCGGGTCGGAGGAAATCAAGTTTCCAGGTCACTCACTGTCTATTCATTTAAGATCCGACTGTTGGGTCTAATTCTTTCTCAGATGGAACTCCTACATATTAAAGGCCTTAAAAATAACAGAAACGACTATAATGAGTTAGTGATATTTTCAAATACAATTCGGATAAGCTGCTACTGGAAATCATGTTTTGCACTGGATTTGTTATCTTGGCTAATTCAAATGATAATATACTTGTTGATCACTTATAGAGCTTCGGACTATCAAGTACTAGCATCTTATTTAACCGTTGTTACCGAATGACATCTATCATAGGTATGTAGTTTATGGAAGAGGTTGTTTACCGTTCGCTTCATGTTGGGTAAAAAAAAAGTCTTCTAGAAATGCCACTTTTTGGTAAAATCGAAGCTAAGAATACAACAGACCGTGGTTTTAATGATTGAACGGATTATATGAACACAAGTCACCACTGCTACAATCATTCACGCAATATGAATCCTGGTTTTTATTGTTAAAATATTAGAATGAGGCCCTAATACTTTTAAACCTGTATATTCTCTGTGATTTTATCTTTCTTGTGGTACACGGCTCATTTACAACAGATGCAACCTAAGTAGCCAATCCCAAAGTAACTCTTAGAATTACTCTGAGCCGTATGGTTTAATTCTGTCGAATCTGAGGCTCAGTAGTTGTCTAAGAACTAACTTTAACCATTATTACTTTTGGCGTCCTCAAATACCAATCCATCAACCAAGATTTCGACAAATATATGAGAGGAATGAACACTCATATCAACATATATATTTGATTGTTAATCTGATCAGATCTATACGATTGTGGTGGTCGGTATTTGATATAATCCTTAAACTTCGTATACAGTTCGTCGCGATAACCGTTCTATATAACGTACCAGCGGTATATTAATCAGAAGGCAAATACGAAGTGTCGATTACGTTTATTGCGAAACCACACACATATATCCAAATGTACAGATGTGCTAAACAAGCATAGAAGAGTTGTGCCGAAAGGCAAGCAAGCGAACGAGAGCCAGAGCAAGAGCGTGACGAGACCGTGCGAGCGAGTGAGCGATCGAGTGTTCAATATGAATAACATGGACATATATATACCATGTGAAATGAATGAGTAATCGAATCGAATAAGCGGTTAGTGGTAAGACTAGCAGAGTGAATAAATGCGTAGGCAGTAATCAATATTCAAGCATACGTATTTCATACAAGCTCAAAATAATAATAAGGATACAATAAATTGTTATAGCGCGGATGGCTTTGTCCGCTAAATAAGTTAACAAAAAGGGCTTAACTGGGTTAAATGAAAATAAACCCATTAGCACGTGAGTCGCTATAATAGCTCCCCCCTGCAAACAAAGATATATGGAAAATGTCTGTGTTTGCATAAAAAAAAAATAGTAGACTGAATAGGGTAGAAAAATGGCTTATACAAAATTAATATGAAGTTGGTGTGTGCTGTACATTTGGTTTGCGCCCGTCCGTGAGGTTACATAAAATAATAGCAAAAAATAGAAGGAATGTGGTATTGTCTTTACATTTTAAACAAAAATTATACGCATAAGTGTAAGGGTACATAAGATACGTTGAGTTTTATAACGTATAACATGAGTTAATAATGCATGTGTATACAATGAGGTAGAAGTTATAATTAATATTCCAAATAGTAGATTATTATTAATAGAAAATTGTAGCGACATAATGTTGGGGCCATCTTACTCTGCGGCCGGATCTTGTTGTTATCGGAGTCTTGTCTTTTTGTTGAGTTAACGTTGTTGATTTTTGGGACTCGTGTTTCGCTGGTATGACCATCTTAGATGAGTCTGTACTTGTTGATTGATTATCGCTATCGATGAAAGCTGGCTTTACTCGATCGATGCTAATTACATCTGTCTTCCCAGCTTTTTCTATGGTAACCGTTTTATTTGTCCTCTCTATCACTTTAAATGGTCCGTCGTAACTCGGTTGAAGAGGTGGTTGTACTTTATCTCTTCTGATGAATACGTGAGAGCTGTTATGTAGTTCCTGTGGTATGAATACCCGTCGTTGTTGTGGTCTGGGAGGTGTTATTTTTAAATCGCTCATGTGCTTTCTCAGGCGTTGCACATAGCCGGTTACATCAGTCGGGACATTTTTACTTGAAGTGAAAAATTCTCCGGGTAATCGTAGAGTAGTTCCGTAAACTAACTCGGCTGGACAACATCCCATGTCTTGTTTAATTGTTGCTCTTAGAGCTAACATTACTAGGGGAAGTTTATTAGACCAATCGTTGTTAACGATGACGGCTGTAAGGGACGCTTTTAATTGCCTATGTAGGCGTTCAACCATTCCGTTTGCTATTGGATGGTACGACGTCGTTCGGATTCGTTTAATACCGAGGAGTTCAGTAAGCTGCTGAAAGAGTCGACTTTCAAATTGTGCTCCTCTATCCGTTGTGATAATCGTTGGTACACTGTAGTAAGAAATCCAATTTTCAACTAGGGTTTTAGCTACCGTTTCAGCTGAGGTGTCTTTTATCGGCACTGCTACCGGCCATCGTGTAAACCTATCGATGCATGTAAAGATATAGTTGTATCCATTTGAAACGGGCAGTGGTCCTACAATATCGATGTGTATATGTTCAAATCTAGTGTCTGGGTGCGAAAACGGACCTACTGCAAAGCTAGTATGACGATGTACCTTCACTTTTTGGCACTTCATGCATGCTTGTGTCCAATTACGTACATCGTGATTCATGTTTGTCCATACGAATCATTCACTAATCAGCTTTATCGTGGCTTTTATTCCTGGGTGCGACATGTTGTGCATGCTTTCGAATATTTTGTGTCTCAACGTTCTCGGGATAAATGGTCGCGGTCGGCCTGTTGATGTATCGCAAATTACTTCCGTGTTACCAAACCGCACCTCTTCGAGTACTAATGATGTTGAACCACCGGATCTGAGTTTATTTAGCTCGATGTCTCTGTCCTGCAACTTTGCTAGACCGTTATAATCAATTCCACTTGCCATAAGTGTGCTTATCGTTGCTCGTGACAATGCGTCGGCCACATCGTTTTCTTGTCCTTTAACGTACTGTATGTCGGACGTGAACTGTGAAATGAACTCTAGTTGTCGGATCTCTCTCGGGGAATAATTGTCTTGCTTTGCGCTTAATGCTTTCGTTAGCGGTTTGTGGTCTGTATAGACGGTAAAACTTATGCCTTCGACCATATGACGGAAGTGTTTTATTGCTAAGTAGATTGCTAATAATTCTCGTCCAAACGTACTATATCTCGTTTGGGTAGGATTTAATCTTTTCGAGAAAAATGAAAGTGGCTCCCATACACCGTTTACTAACTGCTGCAAAACGGCTCCTACTGCTAAGTTCGATGCGTCTGTCATTACTGCTAATGGCGCTTCGTTCTTTCGTCGTACCAACATCATCTCATTTAGCGCTCGCTTAGCGTTCTCGAAAGCCTGTATAGCATCCGTTGAAAGACGGAATGTTCGAGTATGTCCTCGCAAGGCGTCCGTCAATGGCTGTAATATTGCTGCGCAATTTGGGATAAATCGTCTATAATAGTTTATTAGCCCCAAGAATCTTCGTAATTTTCTTTGTGAATCGGGCAACGGATAATTACGAATAGCAGCAACTTCTCTCGGAACTGGCATGATACCATGTGAATTTATCATATGACCTAGGAATTGCAATGATTCCTTTCCAAATTCACACTTTTCCACGTTAATAGTGACGCCATGTTCTTGAAGTCTCGTAAGCAACTGTTGTAGATGTTGTAGATGTTCTTCCCTGGTAGAGCTAGCCACTAGTATATCATCGATATATGCGTGAACTCCTGTCAAACCCCTGACGACCTGATCGATGAATCTTTGGAAGGTTTGGGCTGCATTAGTTAATCCGAAGGGCATTCGCAAAAACTCGAATAACCCAAATGGAGTAATTATAGCCGTTTTAGATATATCTTCTGTCGCTACGGGAATATGGTAATAAGCTCGAACGAGATCGATTTTCGAAAATATCGTGGCACCTTCCATATTGGTAGTAATGTCGTGGATATGTGGTATCGGATATCTGTCCGCTATCGTTTGCTTGTTAAGGGCTCTATAGTCTCCACATGGCCTGATTTCCCCATTCTTCTTCGAAACCATATGCAATGGGGACGCCCAGGGACTATTAGAAGGTCTTATGATACCAAGCTTCGTCAACTTTTCGAACTCTCGTTTCGCGACATTCAACCTTTTCGGGTCTAGCCTTCGTGGTCTTGATTTAGTCGGTGGACCTTTCGTTATAATATGGTGCTGTACCGTATGTTTAAGATCTCTGTTATCGTATGATACCTTCGTCAGATCGGCATACTCGTTTAGAAGCGATCTATATGGCTCGCTTTTGTCTTTTGACACTACTAAATTCATGGATGCGTGATCAGTCGTCACTCCTCTTATCACTACTGAATGGTCGCCGTTCACGAGCCGGTTTCGTCGGGTATCCACTAGTAAGTCAAAATTCTTTAAGAAATCAATACCGATTATAGGTACGGATACATCTGCGATAATGAATTCCCAGCGGAATGAGGTAGTACGACCGAAATTCAAGGTTACTTTTCGCTTGCCATATGTTTTTATATCGGATTTATTTGCTGCCTTAAGCGTTAGCGCTGTATCGATATTTCGTGTTTCGTTACTTACTGGAGGCACGACGCTTACTTCTGCTCCCGTATCCACTAAGAATTGAGCGCCTGTTACTCTATCCTGAACGTAAAATAAACGACTGTTTCTAGGAGCTGTTGTAGTTGTTGCGGCGTTTATCGACAATCGGTGTGTTCGTTTGAATTTACATGGTGATCTACAGTTTCGAGCTTTATCGCCGAAAGTTTGATGGTACCAACATATTGTAGGAGCTGAGCGTCTCCTAGAACGTGATCGACTTCTTTCCCTTGATCTACTTCGTGACCATCCTCTTTGCGTATCGCTCTGATTTAGTTTCATCAGCTTGTGGCATAAAACATTAATCTCCTTTTGTAATGCATCGATTCGTCCATCTATTGTGGTACTATGCCCTTGCGGACTCGTTTGTTTCATTCTCTCATAAATCCTATCGGCTATTTTAGCAATGTTGTCTATATCGACGTCGTTGTCCTCAACCGCAAGGATCTGCTGCACGTTCGCTGGGAGTCGTCGTAACCACAACTGATAAAATATGTTTTTATCTACTTTTCTGTCTCCGATTACGCTTCTCATATAGTTTTTTAACTGCGACGGAGTCCTATCTCCTATCTGCACTTGACTGAGAAGCTGTTCGATGGCTTGCCGGTCGCTTAATGAGACGGCTTTAATCAATGCCTGTTTTAATGCGTCGTATGGCTTTTCTATGTCTGGCTTGATTAAAATCTCTCGTACGTTATCTGCTACTTCATCTGGAAGTAGCGAGCTCGCGTGGCCAAATTTATCTCGCTGTGTATGAACACGATTAGCTACAAAGTAATGTTCAAGTCTGGTAAACCAAAGTTGAGGATCTGTGACCTTAAAAGGAGGAATAGTTACATTAATGGACCTCACGGACGGCGTTTGGGAAAGTTCTATTGTATCGTTACTTAAAGACATATTTATAAAGATCAAAAAGTACACGAATATAATGCGAATGTCACAGAGAAAAGTGAGTCGATAAAAACAATGATAAAAACAAATGGTACAATTTATAACAAAGAACGGACTTACTAAATTGCACCAAAATATCAATTGTTTGTAAAAATATCTTTGTTTATTATGAATATTATTGTTATGTTCTATAATGTTTGTGAGATAATGTACGTATAATTAAAATAATGAGATAATAAATCCACAGTTATATTTATAATCCAAATGATAGTTACAATTGTAATCGAATACGTTGGATTTTAGGAATTGGATTACGTCGTTCAAGATTGTTTCGTGTTCGCGCGTCGGGATCGCCAATTATGTGGTGGTCGGTATTTGATATAATCCTTAAACTTCGTATACAGTTCGTCGCGATAACCGTTCTATATAACGTACCAACGGTATATTAATCAGAAGGCAAATACGAAGTGTCGATTACGTTTATTGCGAAACCACACACATATATCCAAATGTACAGATGTGCTAAACAAGCATAGAAGAGTTGTGCCGAAAGGCAAGCAAGCGAACGAGAGCCAGAGCAAGAGCGTGACGAGACCGTGCGAGCGAGTGAGCGATCGAGTGTTCAATATGAATAACATGGACATATATATACCATGTGAAATGAATGAGTAATCGAATCGAATAAGCGGTTAGTGGTAAGACTAGCAGAGTGAATAAATGCGTAGGCAGTAATCAATATTCAAGCATACGTATTTCATACAAGCTCAAAATAATAATAAGGATACAATAAATTGTTATAGCGCGGATGGCTTTGTCCGCTAAATAAGTTAACAAAAAGGGCTTAACTGGGTTAAATGAAAATAAACCCATTAGCACGTGAGTCGCTATACGATATCGAAATGTTTGTTTGCATCATTTGTCGTTCAACACGTTTCTCTCAGAGATTTTTCTACTTTCTGTTTATCTTTTTTCTAGACATTAATGATTACATGGACGATCCATTGATTCGACGGCATTGTAAGTTATTTCCTTCAGTTCGTCATATATTTCATGTCTAGTTGAAGTTGCGAATCAAATTTATGGATTAACTTGTTAATTCTAGTTAGATATTGTCCGTTATTTTTCTTACAGTGCTAGAACGATGTGATTCATCACGTCTGAAGTAAAGATGATTTGAATCAGTGGAATGATGACTGTTTAGTTAAAATATTCAGCTTGTAGCTACTTAGTAACATGTCCGGACGTCACTCCACTTAGTTTGATTTAGGGAACCGAATAAACTTCATACTTAATGTGTAATCCAAAGTCATGTACATGAATCCGCACCTAGTAAATAAGTTAATAACAGGAACAACGCAAACTATTCAATACATTAGTAATGTTACGTTTCTTTGTGATAATTGCCAGTTGTACATCATCTGATTTATAAGTTAGTTAACTGTAGAGTATCAGTTCACTACTAAATGTAACGTATTATTACTGTTTAAAAATAAAGGTTTCCATAAAATTTCTGGCTTTTCCTGTCGGCTTTTTTATTCCAGTGGATGTGGATTCATCACAGTCAAACTATACATCAAATCAGAGAAATGGTAGTGATAACATTCCTTCGAAACGTCGTGTACCTTTCAGAGGTTCAGGTGTGATTTCACTTTTATGCGACAATTTGTCATCATCTGGTACTAAATTAACAAGTGAAGTTTTAATGCATGTTGAATGGCAAGGAATAGATGTGAAATTACCATTTTCGCGATATCGGAGTCCCGAACGGTATTATGGATAAAAATACACATATATTTTTGTGCTTTTCTTTTTAAAAATAGTCTCTTAATGCTTCTAGTAAATTAAGTTGAATCCAATTTTCTGATTTATGAAAACATTTTCCTTGTGATTTTTATGATTATTAGCATGAAATTTTTATTGGGATTATCGAATATCATTGATAAAAACAAAATAAAACATTAGGTAAATGTTTCGTTCTAGTATAAGATTCCTCGTAGTTGAATATACACGATCTTGTTGCAAGTCAATCCCGCAGATCTCATTGTGAGCGCTTAACGTTTAGATTACTTAGCATGCATCCAATGGTTTACATGTCTAATTCTAATCTATTCGTGATGTTGTATGATCATCTTTGATTGTCTTTAGTGGGTTACTGCCTCATTTTCGACACGGTTAAACTGTACAAGTTGCAGCTTCCCATTACGAGTCTGGGAATTTCCTCTCGAAACTAGTCACTAATGATCAGCTACTCACTGAGAACAATGGAAAATAGTTGTGCAGCATCGCGAATTGATTGAAGCTAGATTTGTTAATCGTTGGATCTCACCACAGTGGTCTAAAGGTTAAGTGTCCGCCGCGAAACCCTAAAGATTCTGGGTTCGGTCGCTGTTAGTGTCGTAGACCCTCACCACTGAGAAGTCACATATTGTCCTTTTTGAACGATTTACTTTATTTCAAGTTTCTACTGTCATCCACACTGTTCGAGTGACATTCTTTCGATTTTCAACTTGTTTATTTGTCATTATATTTTATTTGGATTTTGATAGCTTAAGGCCAATGGATGTCTATGTTAGTTTCTACATTGTTAATGACTAAATGATTTTGTAGCAGTGTTTCGTGATGTTGGTTATATTCAGAAACTCAAAAGTAATAGTCAAACCAAACAGTTATTAGTTGATAACTACAAAGGCATACAACTTGCTTCAAAATTGTACTGAATCATATGATAAAAATTCATGACATTAACAGAAATGGAACGGTGTCATTCATAGCTCAGTAAAACACAATTAAAATAGTCAAGTTAACGAAACGCATTCTTTAAGATTCAGTTGAAAAAATTTAAATTGGATATAGCTGCATCGTTGGGATTGGCTATAGGATATACCATTAGAAGTGTTTAATCAATTATTCTTATCGACTCAATAAACTTGATACCACGCACTTAGTCTTACTTTCTGTATAAATTAAGCACGGATTTGTTTACCCTTCTTTGAACCATTATTATTTGTATACCTTAGTAATATTACCAATTTAAGTGGTAGTGGGTTTTATAACCAGCCAACTTTTTAAACTGATTGGAAAGACATATTAAGAAGTCATATATTCGGAAAACCTATCTCTCAAAGGAGAGGAAACAAAATCTACCTTCAAATAAGGTAACTGAGACAATGAGAGGTTCACTTCCTCCACCCCCATACCTACTCTTTATTTTCTCACGAACAGTCTGGATAAGAAATGAAAATCGTGACTCAAATGTTCAGTATGGCTGAAGAGGCTATAGTTTAAAGTCAGGGAAATAAGTTGTTCCCAGAGATCTTTAAGGACAGCGGACAAGTTTTAATAACTAGACTGATTGAGGTCTGGTTGGTAGATGTAATCTCGTAAAACTGGTCACTCACTAATTGTGTCAGTTTATAAAAAAGAACAAACTCTCATGAAAAATACATAAAAATTAATCTTACTAGTAATGTTTAAAATACCACTACCCATAGTCACCTGATGAGTGGTTAGAACTCATAATAGCTAAACTCACGAAAGTCTGACTGATTTCAGACGTGGACATTGATATGTAGATCAAATACGTACTCTTCATCAGATTTCGAAACATCAATTTACTTACATTACAACTTGAACCGATGCACATTTGTTTCAGGTCGCATGTTGATGCTGACAGCCTAGATTCAAGTGTGTAACCCACAGGTTGAAGTTGCATGTCTAAACTGACAAAAATATCTCATTTCATGATTAGCGCAGATTTGTGTCACATACACAGGACTTTCTTCACTGAATTTATTTATCTGAGATTCAATTGAGTTATGTACTATGTCCTTTGCGTTTTTATCATTTTAATGTAAAAGTTGTTTTTAATAAACACCATTCTTTTTGTCTCTTACTTCTCTCTTTTTCAATTTACGTATTCTCGAAATCGCGATTCGATTTTCTTTTTTATAGATCACGTGTTTTACGTTTTTGTATGTGGCCACTTGATGATACAGACGTTGTTCAGCGTCCTGTATTCGAAAGGTTAGTCTCTCATATTGTTTTATATTTCCGTGTTGGAGTTTATTTTGTTTTTCGCTTTGATATTCACATTCTTTTTTCTTCAGTTTATGCTCTGAAGGACAATATGAACGAGCAGCTGCAATGGCTTTAATTAATTTGAAGTTTGATTGGGCGTTAAGTTTTCTAAATCGAGCTTCATCAGGTAAATTTCATCCTTCTATTTTCGGTTATAGTATATAAACTATTTTGACAGTTTAAACATCATAAAACTTCATGATTGTTAGTACTCTGTAGGTATTTCAATAGCTTCTTAGTTAAGTTTATTTTGGACAATAAACTGCCATAGAGAATCACTGTTTGTTTGTTTGTTTTATTTTGTCATAGGAAACACATTCCGCTTGATTGACAGTTTTACATTCTACAATTTCAACGCATTAACTTTCTCCTTAAATTAAAAAATTGAATCTAACTAGGCACTGTTTATGTGCGTGTGTGTGTATGTATGTACGAAAGATATTTGCAAATTCACTGCAGTAGCATTTTATACCACTACGAAGATTTTAATGAACCTGAATTTCGATAGATGCCTTTTTGATAGAATATAAAATGGTAATAAGATAACATGGTACATTGGGTAATAATAATGAAAAATATCTTTGCTTCAATACTAACAAATATATCTCTCATGTTTCATTGAAATCATGAACCAATCGAGATTAGATAACCATTGAAAACCTGGAAGCACTGGATGACCGTTCCGTCCTAGTATGAGACTCCCAAAGAGTGTAAATACACGATCCCAAATCCAAGAATCAAACTCAGAACCTTAGGTCTCACTCGCGAACGCCCAACCTCTAAACTACATTTCTCATGTAATGAATCTTTTAATTAAAGTACACTTTCCAAAATAAGATTTACAATCACATGTATAAACACAATAACATATTTCTGTCAAAAATACTTCAGATTATCTAGTTTTTTGTCAATAATTGGTAGTTCTTTAGAGGAAGGATAATCGCAACAACATTTTTCCAATTCACATTTCCTCTATGAGTTTCGCTATTACTTGATTGGTTGTATAATTATATTAATTATTATTTAATTGTTGTGGACAAGTCTTACTGTCTATCGAGTTCGTATTAGAGGAATCGTAATCTTTCGTCATTGGAAATAACTGCAGTTGGTCTTAAAACTTAACAATATCACTGTTTGAATTTTGGTATTCAGCGAAATACAAACAACTAAATTCAAATTTGTTTAGTTGTTGACCGAACACATGGAGTGATATTTGTCCGTTTAGCAAGCCGCAAAATGGCTTTGTTAGAAACACTCCTCAATCGTGAGAGGTTTTGCTCGAAAGTACTTGTGAAGGTATGGACCGTAGTTAAAAGTTGTCTGAGAGCGATACTGGTTATTCACGGATTAACTAGTATAGAAAATGAAATTTATGAGAACGGTATGGTTCACAGTCAACAGGGTACTTGTTTCTGTATAATGTGGATTCAAGAGCATGGATAGTGTTGGGATGATTGATTTTCCGCTAATGGCTGCACTAAAGTTAGCATATCAGTCGCCAATATGATTTCTTTATAGAAAAAAGATAGCTTCTTGAGAAAGTCGTAAGTTTTATCATGCTGTCTAGCTGGACTTAGTTATCTTTCATATCTGCGGAATGTGGTGACTATCACATTAGTCTTACATGTATACAAATAACTTTTAAAGAAAATCTAAATATACTTGGGCCATAGTTAGTAAGGGTTTAAGTTATCTCATTGATCTTCAAGATTGAGTTTTGATCAGTCTCAGTAGCTATCTGAACTCACTAGCTCAGTGGATAACGCGTTGGGCTTTGAAAGCAAAAGAGACTAGGTTCAACTCCCAATGTATATACTAACACTGTATTGTGTTGGTATATTCAATCGATTAGTCCGAAATGGAATTCATCTACTATAATTAGAATTGGAACAGATTTTCGACTATAATTTGACATATCTCTCTTTATGATGATAGTCTGTTTACTCTAGTCCTTGTTTTACGTTGCTCATACGATAATATGTGCTAATTTCTTTTCTTTGTCGGTCGATCAATAATAAAGATGCCGATATCGATCTAGTCGCATTGGCTTTAGCTGGTTACACAGATACAAGAAATGAATTATGGCGAACAACATGTGCCAACTTGATAAAACACTTGCAAAACCCTTACTTACGTGTTATGTTTGTATTCTTAAGTCGTCAAGGTGGTGATTTTCAATCAATATTGGTATGTTTTCCTTTTGCAGTGTGTGCTACCATTCTTTGTTCCTACCATTTTTTTTGTAGTCTGTGGTCGTAGTGTCCGATCTGTGCTTCTAGAGGGACATCTGTAATCCATTGATGTATACATTTGATTTCGTCTTTATGAAGTTCTGTCATTCCAGAGTACGAGATCAGGTAATAAAGAGTTACAGCCTCTAGATATAGTTGCATTTTATGTGTATAACACAAAATCGTAGGTATTCTACCGTATTATGCTGACTATCTTATAATTTATATATAAAGAAAGATAAGAAACATTACTTACTATTATTATTGCCATTATTATTATTCCATATTTTGAACTCTCGCTTATATGAATACGATAATACTTGTCGGACATTCTAATTATATTACTAGAACTATTCTGTTTTGATATATTTTCTATTTGAACTCTTGCTACTGACTTGCTGGCCGCTTTCTATATTCCCGGACTACTCCTGCACTTGAACCATATGGTATAGAAAAGGCGCAACGTGGGGATCAGGCTTTACTTCATGGTTAAATTATAGGGTTACAAATGACCTCGATCTTCTATACGCTTGTGGAGATAAACCAAATTTGGTAACTGCTGGGATTTTCTAAATATTCGGAGAAGTCGATGGGGGTCTAGAAAACACTGGGAACCATTCTACTCAATCAGCGTGTAATAGAAACGTCTTAGAAACACCTAGAAATGGAAGACACATGTCACGTTTCTGATTGGATTTTTATGCATGGTGCCACCATATTTAGTATGTTCCAGAGGCCCAAGGTTGTCTGTAATATTATAAATACCCTCGTTTTTCTCTACATAAATTAACCTTGAAGTAAAGTATTCTTTTGGTACTTCTCTCTTTTTCTCTTGTGTTCAAGTTGTACAGATTTAGTCTGGGATTATTAGAAGCAGCTAGTAAATCGGATCGAGTGCTGAGTTAAAAGATTTATCAGTGACGAAACAAGTCGTTATCCATCCAAAATGTGACTGCACTCTATCATCCAACTGACGCGTCCCAAAGTGGATGGAACGCGCATCCTGGGTTCCACAGCTAGTCACCGTCCAATTCTGCTTATAACTCTTGTGACTTAATCACAATATCGAGTCGATCCTCCTAAGTTTGCATATATGCCTAAAGAGACTGGTTAATTACAGTTTTAGACATAAATAGGAAAATCCAAACAATCAATACAAATGAAACTTGAGGATCTAATTAGGTATATTACCGAAAGACATGAGTACTTAAGAGTATCATGCACTGATTTATGTTTGTGACATTTAACTAATACTGTTAATATGTTTATAACAGAGAATACAATCAGTAGTTGAATTTTTATTGATAATATTTACGGATGATTGATTATCATGTCTAAGAACCGTCGTGTAAATATTTGCCAATTTATATGAGCTATCATTCTGTTTGTACCGCGAATTTCTGTCATCAACATTATACGTGTTGAGTACGAATACAAATTAACTTTTTAGTTGTTTTTTTTGTTTCTCTGTAGAATGACGATGCCCTATGTCTTATTGACCGAGTCGCATGTGCCTGTTTATATCTAAACGATGATGATGTGAGTCCAATCTCCATAACGAATATTACTGTTTTCACTGTGTTCACTAAAAGAATATTTCAAATTTCTTCCTGTAAATGTAAAATGTTGCTTCAGGAGTGCTTTGTGTCAACGCCTAAACTAATGATAGAGAATGAAATAACTATGCACATCGATCGCTTCACCAGCCTTGGTTGGTTGATGTTTGGAGAAATCTCTTCACGGATTCAAAAAGCTGACTTAATTTTCGTCAGTTCGCATCACCTGTACCGTAGGTGACATTTTCATCTAATTGCTAACCAAGAAGCACGTATATCATACAACAATTTGCTATGTTTTACTGTTTGTCTGTCAAAATACAGAATATTCGAGGGTTATTGGTATTTAGTTTTATGTGTCACTGAAGCATTGTTCGAATGTGTTGGGCCAAAGGGCTAAGTAGATTAGATAAAAAGGACTAGACAGAGACGGTAAATCGATGGATAAGCCAGTAAATATTCACTGGCTAAAGTGATTGAAATATGTATTGCATGTATCCAAACATCGCCTACCTCGATGCACGTTGTCTACTGTTATAGGTGTAAGTTGGAGAAAATCTGTAGGCTGTTGAAGGAACACTTCTAAACAACATGTCTAAGAAGTCGTTGAATGTTGTACTGAGCTGTATAGGTAGAAACACTATTTGTTTGTGGTTGATGTGATTATCATAACCAATGGTTAGCATCTTCGGGTGATATAGCTCAAAATCAATCGCTATGGCTGGATCTATTCACTCTTTGTCGTCCTGTATATTTCGAGATATAGAATTATTTTATGTCCTTTATTCTTCAAATTCGCAATTCTCGAATTTTATTGTCTCTGTTTATTCCTTTCTACTACGACTGATACTGTTACTACTAATACTACTTCTATGACATTTGTATTGATAATGTTATGGTATGGTAACTTGAACGAATATATATATATATATATATATATATATATATATATATATATATATATATATATATAAAATATCTGTTCAATACCTTAATCATTGTTCCATCTCTAGGGTAATGTTGATTAACATGATTTGCAAATTTCTTATCATGCCTTACCTGTCGATTCATCAAAAGATTTAGCCTGCAATCAGGATAGCATATACTTATTTCCACTGTTGATTAAATAAGTCGTATAAGTAAGAAACCCCTTATGTATACATTTTCCGACTAATCAGTTTATAGTTCTTTATATATATAGAAATTGATTAACACTAGAAAGTACTTGACATACATAACATTGGTCACTAATTAGTGATTAACCAATTGTAAGTACATCTCAATCCTACAGAACGTTAGTCGCCACCTGAATAGCTCAGCAAAAACGTTTTTGACTGTGAAGCTGATTGGAAGTGTATCAAATCTGTCTGAGAGAATCAGTTCATGAAAAATCACAGGTATACCTTTCTGACGAGTGCCAAAATGGTACGAAACCTAGATCCATGGTATCCAGTTATCTACTCCCAACCAGACTACTTACGATCTCAGTATAGTACATCCGTTGTCAAGTCAATTAGACTAGTGGCTATGCCGTAACTTGGTCGATAGAGTTTGGTCATTGATCGCTACACATTTAAGCCATAGATACGTCTTATGTCTATGGTTTTCTTCAGTGAAAAAGTTGAACATATTTCGACCTGATTGTGAAAAAGCTTTTACACATAAAAATTATCATGCTTTTCACTTTCCTGTCTAATTTATTAATAACACTTTTTTTAATCTTTCATTTGATGAACATGTACACACCTAGCTTCTTGTCTTCTTACGTTCAACTTGTAATTCTATGGTTCAACGTGGACAGTTAGAGTCGATTCTACTAACTGGTCTCTGTTCAAATGATTTTATTAACCTAATACAAAACTATGTTGATACAACTGGTGATGTTCAATCGGCTGCAATTGTTGGTTTACACGCTTGTCAGTTATCATTAAATGATAACTATTCAATGGTAAACAACGAAAAACGAACTGATATGAACGATAATAATAATAATGTGAATAATTCACGTCATGTACAAATTGTGTTAAATGGTGTACGGTCATCAACTGTTGATAAGAAATTGTCCATACCTTTAGGAGGAGGAGGATATGCAGGCCGTGGTTATTCGTCTGGGGCGGGTACTAATGATCAACAACCTATGATTATTAAACTTGGTGGGCTTAAAATAGCTAATTGGGTTCAATGGTAAGTGTCGAGTTATGAGAAACGCTGGGAAAAGTATGAATAACACTGATTGCTACTCACTTAATGCTTTTGTGTCATTTTATAATAATAATAATTTAATTTGTAGTGATTTGGATTATCCCAAAATGAACATCAACTCTGGGATGCAAATGCATCCAGCTGACGAGTTCTAAACGGTACGAAATGTGTGCTCTGGATTACACTGCTAGCTAAATTCCATCTATTCTATATAATAGTTATAACAATAATGAATGTTCGTTTACAATGTTGCTAGTTGTCTAGAATTTAGACTATTAAAAATGTTTGGATTTCAATTTTCGTGGATTATAAGTGTGAATTAGTCATTTTACAACTTTTCACAAATCTCAGTTTTTTTAAGTAATAGGAATACACTTTTAATAGGTATCATTATCAAATGCCCTGGTAAGGCCGAGGTTGGCGAGAGTCAACTCTCCCCCTCGAAATGCTCTTGCATGGCCACGTGCATACAACCACTGCTAGGGAAGTCCTACTCACTGCCTTCTCGCGGTGGGGGTGTTGTTTACGAAATTGAGAGAACGAAAAGCGAATGTTCAGAACTTTAACCGGGTTGGTGGTTATGGTGGATCCGAAAAATCCTGATTTTAAGCCAATGGTGCGCATAGGCTCCAGGATTCTGAGGAACAAATTATATATGAACCCATTGTCGATCACCAGCTACTATGGGCCTACATCTACTGACGTTGCTCCACTGCTTTGTGGATTAGACCTTTAGGTCAAAGGCTCGAGGTGTGGCTCCCCAAGAAAACCACCTGCTTCGGTTTGAGTACACAAATCAAACGACGAAATGTGGCGCATATATATTTGGTGCTACTTTGTGCCAATATTTATATGTTCAAATAAATAAGTAAATTCAGTTGTTTTTTTCCATATTACCCTTCATCCTCTTAAAAAAAATCATTCAATCATTATCTTACAAATAAGTTGTAACAGTACTTATTTAAATAATCAAGATATCATTATTAAAGATACAAGACTACAGTAGTTTTTTTGTATTTCACAAGTCACATTGAATAGTGTTAGTAAATGAAAGAAGTCTTATGCATATGTATTTCTCAGTATATTAATCGTTAAACAGTATGAACTGCACAAATTATTCATGCATAGCTAATGCTAACTATTTTTAATTCAGTTTTGTTATGAAACTCGGACGAAAAGCTATTATGCTTCTATATTAGTTGAACTGTTTATTTTTACTGTTCTCGCTCTCTCTAAAATTGTGATGCATCCCCCTTCTTCGTTGGTAGCCCAATTCAAATTAATCTATGACAGATACAACCTACGAAGCTTAATTATTAACTAATTGTCTCATACCTTATTTGCATACAGCGATTTTTTGTTAGTCACTCAGTATATTTCTACTTGTCTGATTATTTTTCATGATTTTCTCACCTTAGCTACCGTGACCTATTAGATCAGTGGCAAATGTGGTTCTATCGAGCTGACTTTGATATCACATATAAATCACGTCTTTTATCCGATTATTTATATCCCAGCACTTCTCGAACTCAAATGTCTAGTTCATTGTTGATATCATCAAAGAGTGTTGAAGCGGATATGCCCACTACTAGTACTGTTTCTGGTACTGGTAGTAGTACTACTACCAATAGTATTGTTACTACTGTTTCTACAAACAACACTAATTCTTCATCATATAGTAGTAAAGTTCGAAATTTTGGATTTATCGCTGGTGCTAATCAAGTACGTTTCATAGTTTGTCTGCTTATTTTGAGCTTTTGATAATTGCCTTTGCATTGGTGTATATATCACATTTCATCTTATCCAACTGCTTATAAAACCTGCAATATTTTATTTTCGAAATTGCGAATGAAGTTTAAGTAGATTTTTATAAACATACACCTAATCAAATATGTTAGTGTAATTGTGTAAAGATTAACAAATTCTAAATAAACCTCCAAAAATGTGATTGAATATGATGGTTACACCTATTCTTATCACGTTGTTAATGAATTTTTATAGGATTTATTTGTGAAGGTTATTTTATTGATTTATTTTAACACATAGATATTGGTACACGGAGGCACCAAATACATATGCGCCACACAGATCTCATTTGATATGTGTGAGGGCTGTGATACTGCCCGGGTGCCCAAACCGAAGGAGATGGTTTTCTTAGGAGGCCACACACGGAGCCTTCGACTAAAAGGTCTGATCCACAAGTGCAGTGGAGCTATGTAAAGAGATGCAGTCCCATGGAAGCCGGTGACCAACGATTGGTTCATACACCATTTGTTCCTTCAGGATACTGGAGCCCATGTGCACCATTGGTTTGGAATCAGGGTTTTCAAACTCCTCTAGGTGGACTCTCCATGTCCACCAACCCGGTTAAAGCGCCGGACATTCGCTTTTCGTCCTCTCATTTTCGTAAACAACACCCCCGCCACGTGAAGGCAGTGAGTAGGACATCCCTGTCAGAGGCTATATAAGCGTGGCCATGTGATAGCATTTTGAGAGGGAGAGCGAACTCTCCCCACTCTCGGCCGTACCAGGGCATTTGGTGGCATTTGTGAAGGTAGCAAAAGACCTTATATCTTGGATTATCTCATTCTATAATATATAACTGACTAATCATTGAGCGGTGCAGTAAACAATGTAATGTTTATTTGATCCTTCTTAACGATGATCATACTCTGTTGGCTATATTTCAGTGTTGCCGTCATTATTCTAACTAATTCAACATTTCGCGCACTATATTTTAATATTAAATTGCTGGGTATAGTCGACAAGATTCCCTGCTCAACCTGGGTTTCTTGATAATTGGTAATGCTCTTCAAAGCATATGTTTTCATTTTGTAATTTATAAAGGGCCTAGGGTCAATCATTGGTTCTTTGAGTTATGTTTGAAAGAAATAAGTATTTTATACATTTTCACTAACCTTGTCCCTTACTATATATATATATATATATATATATATATATATATATCAAATTTACAAACAGACAATAGGAAGTCCATAGAGATTACATATATCAAGACTAAACACTAAAGCTGTTATACAAAGAGTGAAAGCTATAGTCCTATCAATAATCAAGCTAGAGATTTGGATGTTTTACGTAAGTGAGAAATGCGCATAAGGTGATTAGCAACATCTTTAAAGGCACCGCGTTTACTAGAAAGTATGAGTGAGAAGAGAAATTACCATTATTAGATGTACTAGTAAAAAAAAAACAAATAAAGTGAATTCGAAAACACAGTTTACAAAAAGACGCACGAATCAAACCTGCAACAGTAACAAGTCGGTAATATGTAAATGTAGTTGCGTAGAGACTACTCTAAAGAGTGAAAACTTACTGCTCTGAACTCTCACTACACAAAAAACCTGGAATAAAGAAACTCACTTTCTGTTCATCCCTACAAAATTATCATTCTTGTAATCAAAAAGTGTCTAGCGAGTCCACACATTTACACAATTCCAGAATGCAAAGGACAAGTTATTTTATCATATATTTTAGAAATCATCACAAGGATTTTAAAGCCCTTTAGGGTCAAAGTCTCTCATAAGGCAACATAATCAATTTATTCCATTTTATGATGACCATAAGATACGGCAGTAAAAGAAGACAACTATCATATGTTTAAAAAATAAATTACGACAAATATATCAGGCAAATTGGGTACTTCCTCGATGTACTCGTACACTAACACAAACGACATAATGTTATGTCACTCGTATCACTGTACGCAAATAGCCATGGACATAATTTCGATTAGAAGAAAAAACGTCGAACTTTTTGATTTAGGAAATCCAAAGAATTTCAGAAAGCATATTATTTAAGTCAATCTGTAATCAACATGAATCCTATCTAAGCCAAATGATTAACTAATCATATGGCCATATGGTCAATAGTATGAAACACTCAATAGGAATACAAAGACAATTAAAAAGGCTTCCAAAGATAACCATTCCCACACATGATCATCAAAACTGTTTGATTTAACGCTGACTAAATAATCAAACAGTTCACTTCCACAGGAAGTAAACAATAATGATAGTTTTTTTGATTGAGATCATGAACCGATTGATGTTAGACCACCATTGAAAACCTTGAAGCGCTAGACGGCTGTTTCGTCCTATTGTGGGACTCCTCAGCAGTGTGCATCCACGATCCCGCCCCCCCCCGTGAGATTCGACTTCATGGCCTTCAGTCTAACGCGCGAACGCTTAACCTACTGGTTCATGGTCTCAATCAAAAACTTAACAATCTCCACAACTCCTAAACTGATAAAAATGATAATGTTGTCAAAAACAAAAACCATAGTTTTGAAGTTGAATTAATCACCCATAGAGCTCGGAAAATACAACATAACCAGAAATCCTAAAACTTTAATCTGATATTCTTTTATAACTAAGTATGATAGACGGGATGCTCTGATATTAATAATCACAATTTTGTAGTAGATCGTAGAAACTTAATAGAGTTGAGAATACAAAACATTTTTTAAGAAGTTTTAAGGCAGTGTTGTTGTGAAATCCTGAATGATGTTAAGGAACATCTTAGCTTTACAAAATAATCTTGATATAATCTTGTGAAACTGATAAATCTACAAATTAAATCATCAGTAGTAGTGACATGAAAGAGGAATTTGAAGCAAATTCAACGTTTCACCTGGCAATCTGGTTCAAGCTTTTTTAAGGAAAATATCGATAATTTTGTTGTTGGATTATATTTTGCTTGAAAAAGCTTGGACCAGATTGCCAGGTAAAACGTTGGATTTACTTCAAATTCTTTCGCCGAGATTTTACAAATACATTCTTCCTCTTTAATGTCTCACATTAACTCGGCGCCCAAATATTGTGAAACTATTCGTTCAAATTTAGGCGAAAGTTCTTATTTATCAGTAGTAGTGTATGCAATTTTCAGTAACCATCGTTGTTAATATTACATAACGAAACTATGATGTGATCTTTTGTCTTTTACGTAATGTCTTTTAGTGCCATATTTTTTTATTATTCAAATAGGTATATATGTATATGAATGATAATATATGCAATGCGTGCATTATGCTCCATTATATTATCACACTATCTGAAATTTCCAACTTATACGGCCTGTCGTTTGACTCTTATTGATAAAGTATACATTTACTAATGGTCTAATTATGAGTAGTTTTTAAGTAGCTTCCAATCTGATTATCTTGTTACTTAATTACTGTAAAGGTTCATAATTATCGTAATGTTAATAATAGCACTAAAATCAGGTAAAATGCGAATGAATTGCGTAATAGGAGTCATCGACTACTAAGTCAGTCATATGCGTCGTAGAACCTGTCACATATGTGTTTCGGCTCAAGCTAACACACCACATCAAAACTGTGAAATATCAGATTTGTATTATTGGTATTAGGAAAGATAGGGTGTACGAGGTACGATTTAGGAAGAAAATATTGACTCGTGGAATAAAAAATAAAAATGAGATAGTTAATGAATTCAGGACCTAAGGGAAGACAATGAATTAGTACACCTGCAAAATTGTGGACGATTCTGAGCTATATCAGCCGGAATTTCAAACTATTAGTCTCGATAATCGTGTGGATCTTAACCAGGTAATCCATAGTTACCGACATGACTCGAACCAACGATTACTGACTTCACGGACTGATGCTACATTCTAACTTGACTGCCCCTACTTTCCTTTCAACCACTAAGTAATATATTCACATTATCATCTCTTTCTGTCTCACTTTTGTTTTCACTAGGTATTTGTTGCTTGCGGTTTCTGTGGTTGGCGTTTAGAACCTCAAAGTAACAAATTAAACATGTTCAATATTAGTGGTGCTGGCAGTGGTGGTAGTAATACTAGTAATACCATGAACAGTTCATCCATTATTGATACACCATGTTCACCAACGCCGACGACAACAACATCAACAAATTTACAAATGCATGGAGGTGGTGGTAAATTGACAATCTGTCAGCATTGTCGTAAACCATTACCTAGATGTTCAATATGTTTGATGCATTTAGGCACATCGATTCCATTAAATGAATACATGTCTGTTACCAATGCTATAAAGTCGGCTGAATCAATGTTTCAACAAACAGGATTGAAATCAACTGGTAAATTATCTGTTGATTTCATGAATGCTATGCAAATCAATACCACGAGTTCGTCCATACCCCTGTCGGAGAACAATGCTATAAATAAAAGTAATCAAAAAAATCTATATTCGTAAGTAAACGTCTTTCTTTTTTTTCTAAAGTTCAATTTTCCATCCTGATTCATGAGGTTTCGTCTTAAGATATGTACGTAGTCAAATGTTAATGATTTGAATTGTAACTGAAAAAGAATAGTACTAAATCTTGGTCATCCTATTTCTTATAACTCAACTTACATGACGGAATTCCACTTAAAAGGATTAGTAAAGAATGGTCATGTTTTCAATGAGCAAATATTCAGTATATACTACTTTTTTTACTTTAATTTTGTCTAATACTAAAGTGAACGAGAACACAAATAGGGACAACCGCATGTATTTAAATACACAATTACAGAACATCTTAGTAAAATCTGAGAACCATACAATGAATACTTCATTTGCAAAATGTCACCCAATCGTCTGAGACTTCACTGTTCTTTCTCTCCCACGGCAATCGTTCTTCGTTCTTCTGCCTCCAGGCATTGTACTTTCGACTGATGATACATACTACTTATATCTGTCGACATCAGTAGCACACACCACAATACCTTTGACTAGGTCCTCAGTTGACTTCCCCCAACAATGCCCCGTTTGCGGTTTCCCACCTTCTGTTTGAAATTGAGATGGTTTGTGAGTTCTCTGGTTCCTAAAATTTACCTCATTGTGTCTAGACTCGTCCAGTTTAGGTAGAAGAGATTATTACGACAGTATTCTTTGCTCTGAGGTTGTTCTCATAAATTATCCAACTTCTCATCCCATCATTTAAGTAACATTTTATTTTACTCTTTAATATTTTACATTATTCTTACTGTTTAAATTGTTCGCTTTTTAAAAAAAAAAATTAGATCACCTGAAAAATCTTCATCAATCCCAAATTCCATACCGATAGCTGATTGGTTTGTTTGGTGTCAAGCTTGTAGACATGGTGGTCATGCTAGTCATTTGACAGATTGGTTTTATGGAGATTCGTTTGATTTAGGAGATAATGGTTATTCGAAAGAATGTCCGGTCAGTGGATGTCAATGTCATTGCGCTGCACTGGATGTTAACCAAACACTTTCTCGACTAAATTATTGTCGTTCATCTATAAATAGTCGTAGTCCAGATTCAGAAGAATCTAGTTCACTTGTTGATAACGAACCAATTGGATGATAAATTGAATTTTAGTACAGCACTTAATCTCTGATTTTTTCAGTGTTTTATAGCTTGTAAAACTGTTCATAATTACTACCTTGATTATTCACATTTACTTATATTCTTTATTATTTGCAATGTACATAACGAATTCTCAGTTATTTTGAATCTGATAATTTTAAGGAGTTCTTTTTTTAAATATACCTCTATTTTTCTAACCAACATTTGGATCGTTAATACAATTATTTCTTACTTATTTGTTTGTATGATGTTTAAGCGTAATTTACCGTTTTTCTCAGCTTTGTATTAATCATAACGTATTAAAATAGGCTTTGATACGTACTTTAGTTTTTTGACGTCTCCCAGAATGTTTCGTGACATGATACTACATCCCACTATGTTTATCTCGTGGTGCCACCTATAAATTGATCTATTTTGTTCTGTAGATTCTGCAATACTAACATATGTTAGAGGATTAAAAAATCAACTAATGTCAGCTCTGTTTTGTGTGTTATTTTTCATTTAGACCATAATAGGTGTGAATGAGTATCTACTTCAATTACGAAGTGCTATTAAAGTCTAACTTTCCCGGTCTTCAGGAGTAACTGTAATGGATATAGAATGGTGGGAAGCATTTAATCCCTACGACATGTAATCCTTCATCTGCTGGACTAAATTATGTACCTTTAAACTTGGTACTAAAGTAGTCTCATTTTTGAATTTTGAAGATTAGGTGTCACTATATTTGATTTGACTTCACAGTCGTTCAGTGGTATTTTCAACTGTTGCGAAAACATTTTGTAGTACAGGAAACTTTTGCTATAGCAAAGCATCAAAATAAGTAAATCGCAGAGTGGTAGGATAGTATGGTGAAGACATACAAGTGGAATATACATGTAAATATGTAAAAGATGGACGTTTAAATATGAATTGTTCAACTGGCAAGACAAACAAGAAGTATTTTATTCAGATGGGGAGTTTCTAAAGAAAACAAGTGAACCATATCGTAGACTTGTAATTTCCCTCTGTTCTGAACCATATCTTATGATCTCAGGCAACGAATCTACGTGTTCCTTAAGAGCTTTGTGGGAAAGTTATGGCTTTTGCCCCTATCAATTGACACGTAGCCAAATCGCCAATCAGAATTCCGACTTCTATAACTTTGTTCTTGTGCTAAACCATTGATACATCAAACAGCGCTGGCAGTCTTGCGTTAACTGTGGATCCTTATTGGTCCTTGCCCGTTCAGCTCAGAACACAATATCAGCCTAAACTTCGAATATACGTAGTTTATATACAAGTAAACCAGGCCGAATCAGACCATAAAATACACAGCAATTATATAATACCGAGTTGCTCATACTACGTAAAATCAACGGGTTAGCAAGGTTGATCACGATGTTCTTAATGCGACCACAAACAGATCAATTTTGTGGAAGTCCAAAAGTCATAAAATATGTGGTCCATGAGAATGGATTTACTGCTGTGAAGAACTGTATCGTCAACCAACTGTGCATACACATCACAATAGCTCGTTACACACTGATATTTCAGTAGACGCAGCAGTGAGAGCCATTTTACAGCAATAAGCAAAAAATAACTAGGCTGCTTTTGACATTGCTACTGTTGTCGACGATCCGAAGACCAAGGATTTGACAGAAGGGAATCCAGAAAGGGAACTTTACTAGGGATCGTCCATTTATGTCAAAACATTCTTGTTGAAAGGTATGTTGCAGAAATGTTTTCATCTAGTTGTTCGAGCTTCCGTTAAGTTTGTAGTGACTCACGTTTATCACGAGAACACGACTGGATTAATAAAAACAATTATTATTATAACCAACTGTACCAGTGTTTGTTTTAATGTGCTTTTGTTTAACTGTGCTAATTATAGCCATTTTGTGCTTCCATTACCTTCCATCATTGTTCCGCGGTTTTTGGTACTGTTCTCACGTACTCCTGTCTTCTGCTTTCGCTTGTACCTTTTCTTGGCACGATCTCGGTATTCGTTCAATACCACGAGATCGCCAACGAAATAAATCTGGTTACGTTCAATCCTCGCCTTCTGATTTATCTGGCACGTGTTTCTTGGTAGCGGTGTTCACAGTTAATCTCAACTCGACGCCACGCTACAATTGGTGATCCCAAAGTTTGGAACACGCCGCAACCTCGGGTCAAATCTTCCAAAGAAGTCAATTTGGTGAGTCTATTATTTATCTATCCACGTCTGTCGTATATTTTCATATTAATTTTTAATATATAATATACACGACATGACGGATAGCGAGAAGAATACTATTAATGTTATAGACTCAGACGTACAGGCCATTCATTTTCGACCTGTATCATTTATCCCCCACGACCCTGAGGTCTGGTTTGCTGCAATTGAGTCTCAGTTCGAGACTCGTCGTATCACGAGCCAAAGGCAAAAATACGCCTACGCTCTCGAATCGTTACCCGGGGACCATTTAGTAGCTGTTCGTGAGGTCGTCCTCAATTCTAACGTGCCTAATGTTTATGACCGCCTCAAGGAGGCAACTCTCCGACATTTCCTCCCATCAAGGGAGGAACGATTGAGGACCCTGTTAGCACGTCACCCCCTGGGTGATGCTAAACCAAGCCATCACCTCACGCGCCTGCAATCTCTTGCAGGATCAACAGCATCTGACTCGGAGATAGTTAAGGAATTATGGCTCGAGTCACTACCAGCCCATATCCAACCTACTGTGACGGCACTGCTCGAGGACTCACCGCTTAACCAGGTAGCCCTCATAGCAGACAAAATTTTGGCGAGGACTAGCAATAGAGACACCTATGTAGTTGCTTCGACGGCACGTCCTAAAGTAGACATGGACGCCGCTCATTCCTCAGCTCATGGTGACAGGGACGGGTGTATTCACGCACGTCTTAGTTTTCGAGACCGTTGTAACGTACCCCAACCCTACGTCCCCCGAGTTCGCTCAAGTTCTCGCAAACCCGTCACCACTCGCCCAAAAAGGGCATCTTCCAGGCCACGCCGAAAGGCGGCTACGGAAGCGAGTGACAGTTGGTGCTGGTTCCATAGGTCCTTCGGGTCTGGCGCCCGCCGTTGTCGAGCACCATGCTCATACAAGGCGGGAAACGCCAGCGCCGGCGAGTAAAAGCGGCCGTACTCGCCGGCCCTTCTCCCCAGGTTGGTCGCCTATTCTATGTGCACGATTATCGCACAAACGCTAGGTTCCTAGTAGACACTGGGGCCCAAGTTTCTGTCGTACCACGAGGTAGCAGCAAGTCACAAGCCACAGTGCTTCGACTACGCGCTGCGAATGGCTCAGTCATTCCTACCTACGGTACACGACAACTCGTGGTCAACCTGGGCAACCGACGACGGTATCTGTGGACGTTCATCATTGCTGATGTTCCCACAGCCATACTAGGTATCGATTTTCTACAGCATTATGAATTGCTGGTCGATTCACGCAGGCTGCAGCTAATCGATACTTCGTCGAACAGCAAATTCATGGGCTGTAAAGCCCACATGAACGCGTACCGAATCCTCGGCACTTTTTACTCGCGTGACGATAAATTCCACGCTTTATTCGAGAAATTCCCCGTACTCACTAAACCACTCGAGGAGCTTCCATCGGTGACCAATCGTGTGGTACACCACATAGTCACCCGCGGACCGCCAGTCACGGCACGACCTCGCCGACTGGCACCGGACAAATTAGCTTTTGCTAAGCGTGAGTTTGACAATTTACTAGCTACTGGTATTATTCGTCCTTCTCACAGTCCATGGGCCTCTCCTCTACACATGGTGCGCAAAAAAGATGGGGTTAGTTGGAGACCATGCAGCGACTACCGAGCTCTAAACGTAGTTACGCGCTTTGATAGCTACCCCATCTCCCACATACACGACATCACGGCATCGCTCAGGGCCACGACTATCTTTTCTGAGATCGATCTGGTACGAGCATATCATCAGATCCCAGTCGCTCTTGAAGATATCGAAAAGACAGCTATCACGACTCCTTTCGGTTTGTTTGAGTTCCTACGAATGCCATTTGGATTACGGAATGCTGCTCAAACTTTTCAAAGGTTTATCGATAGCATTGTACGAGACCTCGATTTTGTTCACGTCTATATTGATGACCTACTAATCGCATCATCAAACGTAGATGAACATTATCAACATCTTACGCTATTATTCCAACGACTTTCGGATAATGGAATAGTAGTTAACCCAGACAAATGCGAGTTAGGTAAACGAGAAATAATATTTCTGGGTCATGTTATCAAGCAAGAGGGTATCTTACCTTGTGAGGACAAAGTGCAAGCAATAAAGGAGTACAACGTGCCGTCCTCACTCAAGGAACTGAAGGCTTTTCTCGGTTTGGTTAACTTCTACTGTCGTTTCATCCCACACGCGGCAGAACGGTTACGACCACTAACCGACTTACTACGCGGCAACCCACGCAGATTGGAAATGAACGATTCTGCACGTACTGCATTCACTGAAATCAAAACGGCTCTTGCGCAAGCCACTCTTCTCGCCCATCCCGATCCATCAGCCACGCTTAGTATAGCGGTTGATGCATCCGATGTTGCTATAGGAGCAGTCATGCAACAAAACATCTCCGGTAGTTGGCAACCTCTCGAGTTTTTCTCACGACGCCTCACTACCACGGAGACGAGATATAGCGCTTTTGGTCGCGAGCTGCTAGCAGCCTACTGCGCCATCAAACATTTTCGGCACGCAGTAGAAAAACGTCGATTCATTTTATTCACCGACCATAAGCCCTTAAGGTATGCTTTGCATACCAAGTCTGACCGCTACTCACCACGTGAGTGCAGACATTTGGACTATATCTCCCAGTTCACGACAGACCTTCGTCACATCCAAGGCAAGTCGAACTGTGTTGCCGATGCTCTATCACGAATCCAAACGAATGCAGTTACTCTGCCGGTGCTCGATCTTCCTGCTATGGCCGCTGCCCAAGCAAACGATCCCAGCTGTACACAAGCACCACACTCTACGTCCCTTCAGTATCAGGAAGTACCTCTAGCCACGACTTCTGGCACCATTCTATGTGATACTTCTACCGGTCTTCCTCGACCCATCGTACCCTCTGCTTATCGCCGTCTCGTATTCGATGCCCTGCATGGATTATCTCACCCAGGTATCGCAGCTACATTACGCCTCATCGCTGCACGATACGTCTGGCCGTCCATGAATAAAGATGTTCGTATGTGGGCTAAGCAATGCTTGCAATGTCAACGATCAAAAGTGCACAGGCACGTAGCCGCCCCCCTCGGCACATTCGCTACGCCTGATGCTCGCTTCGATCACGTTCACTTAGACATTGTAGGACCACTGCCACCATCGCACGGGTATGATCACACACTCACGTGCATCGACCGCTTCACCAGATGGCCCGAAGCTATACCCATCACGTCTATCACGGCGGAGACAGTTGCGCACCGCTTCGTAGAACGATGGATAGCTCTATATGGTTGTCCCTCG